ATTCTTACAATATATCAAATGTATCATAGCTGAATTTACCCCATCCATCATTCTCCTTTATTCCCTCTTCCCCCATTCCTGGAATAGCTTCAACAGGTCTCATTTTCCCATTTACACCATATTCACCCTCCTACAACCTTGCCCCTCCCAAAGGGCCTGTTCTGCCCTCCTGTTCTCCGTTTTTATGGGGAAAAAGTTACATTTTTGTTTAAGATAGCTATGCATTGCTTTCCTTGTGACTTTTCCATAGATATATGTATTGTAACTTCAAATTGGTTCATCTTCTCTATTTTTCTTCTTTCTACCTTAGTACCGTTCTTATGGTGATTTTAACAGGTTTAAAATGTTTATATTCATTCTGTATAGGAAATACATCAACCATATTCACCTTAACTTCTTTTACCCTCCCTCTCTCATGTGACTTCCCCTTAGCACGACCTGCTTTTCACAATATTGCTGTATTTGTATTAGATCTATATTCCACATATGAGAAAACATGCGACCTCTGGCTTTCTGAACCTAACTGCACTTAAGATGGTGTTCTCCAGTTCTATCCATTTACATGCAAATGACAAAATGTCATTCTTTTTTATGGCTGAATAAAATTCCATTGTATATAAGTAACACATTTCTTAATCCAATCATCAGTTGTGGGGCATCTTGGCTGTTCCCATAGCTTGGCTATTGTGAATAGTGGTGCAGTAAACATGGGTGTGCAGGTGCCTCTGGAGTAACCTGACTCACATTCCTTCGGGTTTATCACTAGGAGTGGTAATTGATGGATCATACAGCAGTTCTACTTTTAGTTGGGGAGCCTTCATACTGTTTTCCATAGTGGTTGTACTAATTTACATTCCCACCAACAGTGTATAAAGGTTCCTTTTCCTTCTGCATCCTAACATTTGTTGTTGTGTTCTTGATGACAGCCTTTGTAACAGGAGTGAGGTGGAATTTTAGTGTGGTTTTGATTTGCATTTCTTTTATGGTGGTGAGCATTTCATGTTTTTTGACTTCTTCCTTTGAAAAAACTCTGTTCAGTTCATTTTCCCATTTCTTCATTGGATTATTGATTTTGGGGGTTTAGTTTTTTGAGCTCCCTGTATATTGGTTATTAATCCCTTGTCAGATGCATAGCTTTCTGTAGGCAGCCTCTTCAGTTTGGTGACCATTTCTTTTGTTGTGCAGAAGCTTTATAACTTCATGTAGTCCCATTTGTCAATCCTTTCTCTTAGTTGCTGAGCCATCTGAGTTCTACTGAGGAAGTCATTGCCTATGTCTATTGATTTCAGTGTATTCCCTGCTCTTTCCTGCCCTAGTTTCAAAGTTTCAGGCCTTATATTAAGGTCTTTAATCTACTTTGAGTTAATACTTATACAGGGTGAAAGACACAGATCTAGTTTCAGTTTTTGGCATGCAGATACCCAGTTTTCCCAGCAACATGTGTTGAAGAGGCTGTCTTTTCTCATTGTATGTTTTGGGTGCCTTTATAAAAAAATCAGGTAGGCATAGCTGTGTGGGTCTTCTATTCTGTTCTACTGGTCTTTATGTCTGTCAAACTTATTTTTTTTTAAAGGCTAAATACCCAACATGTAGAAAACATAGTTCAACAACCATAACTTTTCTGGGGATATTTATAAATACAAAGCCCAAGTGCTTAAACCTCTAGCAATGGAATCTCTAAACAACAGGGAGAAATAATTCTGGAATTGTGTCCTTTAGCTGCCCCCCACTGCCGCAACCTGCAGCATCAATAAGGTACTTTCCCCTTTGCCATTTATTCCAGAATTGTTAAATAAACGCTTTTTGTTCGGACATGTACAAGATCACCACTCCTGGAATTCATGGATAAGAAATAACAAGACCAGTTAAATTTTGCCTAGGAAGCCAGGAAAATACTTAAGATAATGGTCTTGTCTTCAAGTTGCTGCTGATTGTTCCCAATTTTTTGCCCGTAACAAAACTTTAATGTTGTGGCTTTCTGACATATACTGCTGACTAGAAACTACAAGTAGATTCAAAGAAGCCACTCAGTCAGTCATTCAATGATAGTGACTGCCTGCCACATACTAAGCACAGTAGTACCAGGAACACAACAGTGAAAAACCCAAGTCCTGGCCTCATGGAGCACACAGAGCCAGGGGAATGGACAAATAAGAAAATGTATGTAGTGTGAAAATAGTTATGTCTGGGTGCATTGTAATATGGCTAAGTAGACCAAAAACTAGTAGGCACAATAACCCAACAGTTCTAACTTTAGCCAAGATCTCTGATTTCTGACCAGAGATTAGGCAATTGGTTTTTCCTGTTGTGTAATCACCAAACCTATTGAGCAGATCATCCAACCTCTCCTCCTGCTTCAGACCTTGGCTTATGTAATTACAGAAATGGTCTCCAAACACCTTCCCTTCTAGTGTCTGGGTGAGGAAACATCGTTCTCGAGTCCATGAGGGCCACCTGTATACTAACCTAATCCCACTTTTCTCCTTTACAAGAAGTAAAGACTCCAAGAGAAAACTTTTTTTTTTAAACCACAGTATCTTCAGTACCTAACATAGTGTCTGATACATTCAATGCGATTCAATGAACCTAAAGAAGATACCCACCAAACTAGCATTTCACTTCTAGGAATTCATCCACAATGTACTAAAATATATATAGCTGTAAGAGCTAGGTTTATGATATTAAAACGGAATCAAACAATCATCAATAAAGTGAGTAACCTAAATAAGGCAGACATTAAAGTGATGTACTCAACAAACTACAAGTAGAAATTTTAAAAATTAAATGGGGAAAAAAAACGTATAGAGACTCATATTAGCTAACCGTAATATGAATTCTGCCTTGAACAGTGTATTTTTGAAAATTACGTTTGAGGCAACTGGGTAAATGTGAATAGTAACTATATAGTTTTATAATTAAAGAGGTAGTGTATTATTATTTAAGAATCCTTTTAGAGATAAGGGTGTGACTCAAGTGGTAGAGTGCCTTCCTACCAAGGACAAGGCCCTGAGTTCAAATCCCAGTACCACCAAAAGAAAAAAAATCCTTTTAGAGATTCACACTAAATGATTTTTGGTGAAATGTCTATAATTTGGTTCAGAAAAATTCAGGAGAGGTAAAAAATAAGCAGGAGCATGAAACAGTGTTAGGCATGAGCTTATGGCTGTTAGAAGTTATCCTCTCTACTTTTGTTAATGTTTCAAACTTTTCATAAGTTATTCTTAATCATTCCCATCTGTCAGGAGAAATAAGTGGGCAATAAAGCAGTACTGCCCACTGTGTCAATGTGTAAGACACACCCAAAGTCTACATGGCTTTTTATACCAATGAGGCAGCAACTTCTCCACCTGTGCTATCCAATCCGGCCTCTCCATCACAAGGCACTAGCCACATGGGGCTACTGAGCCACTATACTTGAGGAACTGAACACTTCATTGTCTAAATTTAAACAGCCACATGTGACTAGTGGATTTCATTCTGGACAGCACATGTAGATGACAGAAAAGTATGCGTGATTTTAATTTTTTTTTTTTTGAGATCTAGTCTCACTGTATAGCCCAGGCTTAACTGGAAGTCATGAGCTCCTGCCTCCTCTACCTGTATGCTGGGAATAAAGTCCAGCCCTTTAAACTTGTTCAAACATTTTTTTTTTCTGCAATAAAAAAGCACTATTTTTGCAATAAGAAAAAACAGGCTGTTTTGCTCTCATTTAAAACATTTACTATCAGTGTGGGTTTTCTTCAGAAGACTATTCTGAAAGTGAAAAGAAGCTGAGTAAAGCAAATTCCATGGAAAAGTGTATATGTCTACTTTCAGTTAACTTTTCTTTATTTTTCTTTTTGTGGTACAGGGGATTGAACTAGGCACTCTATCACTTGAACCACGTCTTCAGTCCTGCTTTCAATTAACTTTTAAAGAAAAAGAAAAGTAGGTGATTCACTTCCCATTTTATTTTTCAGTTCTCCATTCCTTCAATCCTAGCTCATATAGAAACATGTTTTCATTTGTTTGTTTACTAAAAAGATGGAATATAAATGTGTTGCTTAGATTAGGAACAGATATGTCAATCATATCTGTGGGTTTTAGTCAATGAATGAGGGACCATAATAGCTCTGTGATCAGAAAGAAGAAAACACTTAAAGGATCAAAATGGACACTTTGATTGAAGCAATCAGCAAACAAGATCAATATGGATTGATTGGAAGAGTTAGAAAGGTAGATAGTACCTTAACTATAACAGATACTAACAGATACATCTAAAATGCAGTTCACAAGAAGGTGAAGTCTTAGCATGAAACAAGGATGCCACAGGTGAGATTTTTATTGACTTGTAATTTTTCAGCATACAAAGTAATCAAGTATGGTATTTACAATTCTTACATAATGTACATTTTAGAATAACTATAAAGATAATGTACTTTGTTCCATTTACAATGACAAACTACAGTCAAACTACATTCATGAATTAGATACAAATCCTCTACATAGGAATAAAAAGTAAATGGAGTGTTGGTTATACATTCTTTAAAATACACCTTTTACAGGAAGCAAGTAATATTACATTACTTTATGACTGGAATGACCCAGAAATATAACAAAGTACAGGTAAACAGATATAGAAAAGTAGCTCATCATTTCCACAAGTTAACCTTTAGCCTTTGTGTAAAATAAATGATGCCAACATTCTTTATAATGTAGCAAGCTTTCCCCCGTTTAAAATTAACACCCAAAAGGATGATGATTTGAGTAAAAATAAGAAACCTTAAAAGTAAGTCAATAAAAAGATCAATGCAAAGAAAATTGTATTTAACCAAATCTTGCTTTGTCCCCACATTACCCCATTTTAAGTGGATAAATTTATGTAAACAGAAAAGTATGTCCATAAAACCATCTTTATAGATGTCAGGATTCAACAAATAGGATCCGAGTCCCTTTTAGTTATGTTTCATTTGAAAGCACCAAGGAACTGATATTAAAAAAAAAAAAAAAAAGTAGGTTGCCTCTGCTTCATTAATGCTTATTATTGCAAAAATGTAAAATTTCCTACAATCTGATGTCTTCAAATCCCAATCTATTCCTTCTACCCTGAATCAAGGTTCTCCAGAATTTTTGGAGTCTCTTATAAAACACAAGGAAAGCTGCTGCTTTCCAATGATCTCAAATCATTTCATGGTATAAGTAAAGTGCCCCTGACTTGCAGTTAGTCAGATCTGGGTTATGCCACCAACTAGAAAACTGAGTGACCACTTCTATAAAATTAAGAGTTGCATGCTAGCACCAAATAGCAGACAACGTTGAGGAAGCTTGTGGATTAAAATCTGAGAAGTGCTACTGTAAAAGTCAGCTGAGATAAAGCAATGTTGAAGTACAGTGTGGTAGCAAAGCATATACAAAGGGATGCTTTTATACTTTCACCTTGTTTCACTCACTCATTTTATTTGTGAGAGCCCTGAATCCAAAAACAGTATTGAACACTAGTCCAGTGCTCTCTGCACGATATCATACAGTTCTAAAGTCATTCTGGACACATAATTCTTTAAAAATATTATATCATCTTTTCAGCTCATATCCATATCCATGGTCAAAAGTAAAATTATACAAAGAGTTACTCCGACAATGTAAGAGTGATCTGGGAATGTCTGATTATTCAAAAAGGTAGCATGTTTAGCCTTAAACTCAATTTGGTTTATTGTGAGATACTTAACATACATAAAATTATATTTTTAAAATACTGCTAATATGATCACGGGTTTAAGCTGTTGAAACTGAAGGTCTAAAAAAATTTTCCCCAAAAATGAAGACTAAAGTACATGTTACACACTAAGTGTGTATGTTTGGAAAAGTAAATAACAAAGTTCATTAAAGTTTACAGTGAAAACCAGTATAAACTAGGCACACTGTAATTCAGTAATTCTCTGGAAATCTGTGAATTTCTACGTAACTTTTCCCTAGAAATCTTAAGTATGTCTGCTAATTTACCTTTAGTCTGGTTGTAGTATGAAACTGTATTTATGATCCCTTCATAATTACTGGTGCTCATCTTATTTGATGTTAATCCAATTTTTAAGTTAATAGCTAGTGACAGTGAGCTAACAGAATAATATAAGGATTCAGAAACTAGTATCAGCAGATGAGTCATGAAAAGTAAACAGGGACTAAGAAGCCCAAGAGTATGATTAAAATTATTTATACTCTAAGTCTTCATAACGTACTTCACAGTGTAACAAAACTCAGACTTGTTCCATACTATATAAAAGTTATTACTTGGCAAAGTGAAATTCACCTAAAGAGTCAACCTACCTTGTAACTATTAACTTAATTTAAAGTCTTGCTGTTTACTTCCATCATTTCTGCCAAATTTAGTACAGATGAGGTCTCAACACATTCAGGAAATCAAGCCACTGAAATGTCCTTTTGTTTTGCCAATCTCCCCGCAGTATTAAATATGTGGCTTTCTCTGAAGAGATTCAGAACCATGATCACCTTTAGGGAACTTCAAATATATTTCTAGCCATTAAATTAAGTAGCCACATTTACAACTAATGTCTCGGGCAACCAGATGCAAGCACGTGAGGAGGAATTGCCCTCCAACCTCACCTCACAGACCCCAGAAGTGATCTCAAGCACTAAGACCCATCTAAAGGGAAATCTGTCTAATGAGTGCTCAAAGGTCAGGAGCTTTAAAAGAGTGAAGTTTATGATTAAAATAATAGGCACAACAAAGGAAAAGTGAACCTTACTTTTCTCTATCTTCCTCTCTTAGTTCATTTAACTTATTTCTCTTCCATGAGCTTCTAAGATAATCAATTTCAAAGTATACTCTAATAAAAATGTTACAACATTTAGACAAAGTACCTGCAAACCAGATGACCTGTGACTCTAAGCTGAGACAGAAAATATTTAATGTTCCTGTTATGTTGTAATTAAAACACAATGCTTTGGAAGTTATTCCTTAGAAAAAATTTACAATCATACCTTTACCCTAATCTAACATGTAGTGGTTATCACTACATATAACTAACATGTAATGCTTTTTGCATTACATGCTTGCAGTTTGGCCAAATTATGGAATTTTTTCTGTGATGTGAATTTATTTCAATATAATTCCTGCTTAGATTCTGATCTGTGTTTTAAGCAAAATAAGATTCTACTTATTGAAGGGAAAATGTTAGAAAATTTATTATGTAATTTAATTAAATATAATTTTTTTATAATAAAGCCTTTGATTTAGAAACTGAGTATCAATAATATTACTTATATATCATTTCTAAAACAATACTAAACTTAATTGTTGCCAACATTTTAAAGGAACCATAAGGCAAATTACTTAATTATTCTGTACTAAATTGAATTACATCAGTTTGTACCACATAAATGGTAAACATTCGTAGTATTTTGGAAGTCAAGGGTCTATGACTATAACGCTATATACGGGATGAAATTTAAAAGAATGTATACTGTATGAAGAACACAAGATAGATGCAGAAAAAACTTATAGGAGTTTACTGTTGTACATTTTAGTATAAACGAAGAAAAAAATGAACTTTTTTCTCCTTTATGCAGAGATTTTTCTTTCATTATGAGCAACAGCAAAAACGTATAATAAAAAGGACAAATTCCAAATACTAAAATGCCCTACATTATTTTATAAAGCAACTTTTCCTTTAAAAGTTATATTCTAATGAAAGCATAATTTTGCAACATTCAAGTAACCTTTGAAATACAATTTTATTACATTGATAAATTTGTTGTGGTTTTAGGAGATCAGTCCAATGATGAAGAACTGCTACTGCTGAACTGGTGATTGAGGAGAAATTAGAGCTTCTTTGCTTCCTAAGGTGGACTAGTCTAAAGGACTGAACTTGTTAAAGTACTAGGCAACAACCTAATAACCTATCATTTAAGGAGCACAGTGGTATTTCTGAGCAGATGGGGGAGAGCATACTCTCTAGTTCTAATAATTAAATCACACATTGTGTGTATGTTTGCTAGGCTACCAAAAACACACACACACCTATTTCCAAACCACCAAAACCCATTAGGAAAGCTATAGAAAAGACATACTTTCGAGGCAGGCAGGATAATTGATGCTCACTTGACGCAGACATGCTTGAGTGAATGATCCTGGACACGATGAACAGGGGAAGAAATATCAGTTCTATCATCCATTGGCAAAAGAAGATATTGTGTCTAACCTCTTAGCGTCTTATAACCTAGAAATGGCCTAAATCTAGATTCAACTTTTATCTATAAAAAATAGCCCTTTAAACAAGGCGTTATTTTTTAAATAAAAATATCAATGAATGGGTACCTTTTTTCTAAACAATTTGATATCTACCAAAATTAGGTAAATAGAATTAAGCAGTAAAAATGTATGAGTTTCGGCAGCATGCATTAGGAATTAACCAGATTTCATATTTTCCCCTTCTTAAAAAAATTCAGAATTTCTGTGAATCTTGCTGGAAACGATTTAGTTTCTCTGGATTATTGGATGCCATTTGTGAAAAATCACGAAAAATGTCCTGGTAAGTTTCATCACCTGCATGAAAGTAAAATAAAGACATTTTTACAATTTATACAACTGGAGCAGCAGTAAAACAACATTCATTTTTATAACTCTGCTTTATAATTCATTTTACATTAAAAATTTGTTCAGATGAGCATTTTTAGAAGAAAAGACCAATTAGATATGATATCAGCAAAGAATATAATGAAAGAAAAAAAAACTATACCTGAAAAAAGCACCTCACATGCAGCCACAGAGGAAAGTTGAAAGTTAGAAAAGAGCAAAGATGCAAGTGTTTCAAAGCAATGTAGAGAAATACATTTATTAACACAGGAGAAATAAAAGTCATTCTAAATAAGGAATAGTAAACAAGATAGTCTTTAACTATTTCCTTTGATAAAGGCCAAAAGAAATGACCCAAACCAAACATTAATGTGTCTGATGGATGCAAGTTATTAACAACAGAAAACGATAATCAGTTGGGAAATATTATCTTTTAATTAGAAGAAATTTAAATCAAAATAGCATGTGAAAAAGTACATTAGTGCTTAGAATGAATATACCTAATCCTCTGCTTACTAAGGTTATAAAATCTTAAAAAGCTTTAAAAATGACTATAAAATCATAGTTTAACATTATCAGAAATTTTGCTATACTGTTGGTCATATAAGCAAGAATGTTACGGGAAAATGGGAATGAACAGCAGAGACATCTGTTAAATTAGAGAGATAAACATGTGCATACATATAAATATCCTTATAGATGCCAATTATAAACACTGACATTATAGGAAGTTGAAAACAGTCTTCCTTGCTATGAGAAGCTATATACACACATACTAATTAATCCCTCAAACAAAGGAATCTTATTTTGAAGATGAATCATTCATCATGAATGCTTTCTGCTAAACATTAGCTTTATACAGACACTTGGCATAATTCTGTTCTCAAGATTTTGAGCATAAAAATACTGTTTTAGATGATTATTTTTACAACATGGTTTTGTAATTATTTCCCAGAAGATACCTTGCATCCATCTTATAACAAACACATTGCAACAGTTGTTGAAAGTGCAGTAGTTTTGTCAGTTTTAAAAAGCATGATTGCTGAGGCAAGAGATGTCATACCAAAAGCTAGAGAATTAGAAAAATGTTGGAGAGGGGGATAAAAATTTAGTAAAAAGGCCTAATGGCATAACCCAAGATTTTTAATACATTTAATATTTAGTTCCTTTTAATATTTAGTCTATGTAAAAAGTGATTTATTAAAATCCCCATATAGTTTTCATTTAGCCCTGGAAAATTAATCATGACTTGAAACAATTAGTTAAGCCTAATGCTACTTAAAAAAAAAATAGTAAGAAGAGAATGTTAACAGGTTGGCTGAGAGTAACAGCTATCTCACATCATTGTTATTAAAACAAAACTCAAGATAGACATACAGAACAATTGGTAAGACAACCAATTATACTCATGGTTTCTTAAAAGTTTACTTCCATGTTAAAAGACAAACTACAATCTATTCCCATTTTTAGCCATTCTAAAAGATATAAAATAAATGAGAAGAGAACATTAAATAAAAATTAACAAACCATACAAAATATTTTAAATTTTTCTATTTTTAGATGGTGAATTAAAATATGTAAAATATTTATTGTAAACATCATAAATTTTTTTAAATGCTATTTAAACTAGATAGTCTAGAATTTTACTTTCCAGGAAAGTGTAAAGTGCAGATTATAATACAAAAATACCACATTGATTTTACCATTCAACACCAGAAATAACTTAAAAGGCACACGTTATACATTCAGAAGAAATGGGAAGGTTCTAGCAGACGCTAATGCCAAACAGTTCACAGATAGCACCAGGTGAGCATTCTCAAGTATGACAGCAGTACAATGGCAATATATGGCTTCTACAATCAGCAATGCATATTTTGCATAACAAGATGTGAGTTTTTTAAGGTTTTCTATTTTTTGTTTTTAAATCATCTAATATCTATTACACAGGAACATTTTTAGTAGAACCATTGTACCATGCAAAACAAATTATAAGACTTTTCATCCAATGAATTAAATGCTTCCTTAAATGAAAGTGTTGGTGCTATAATAATCATTGGTTTCACTGACTGAATACATTTTAGATTTTAATACAATACAAAAGGGAGTTTTCACCTTCACACACAAAGCTTTTTGTTAACATTCAGTTTCTAACAAAACATTAATTAATTCACTGTTCATATACTACCTTTCTTAGATCTCAAAATGTGTTGTCAAAAGCAAATAGTGATTAAAATTTAATATAGCTAACACAAATTGAACATCAATGTGATTACTTAAAACTAAGTAGAATTTTAATCACTTCAAATTTTTCCCAAGGCAAATACAACTTGTCTACACTAGAACACATAAGCAAAACCCAAGATATGCTGTCCTGGGATGTTCCCAGGATTACTGAACAGTTTATTATAAATGATAAACAACTAATCATCCAATATTTGTAATGATAAGGTAAGCATATTCTTTAAATCACTTAACCACATTTTGTTTTCCTTTCAGAGAGTTAGTTTTTCCTTTCAGAGAACTGCCTGGACAGCTGGGCACAGTGGCAATGCCTTAATCTCAGCTACGTGGGAGGCTGAAATTAGGAGGATTAAAGTTCAAGGCCAGCTAGGTAAAAAGTTAGTGAGACTTCCTTTCAACCAAGCCAGGAGTGGAGGTGTGCTAATCCTAACTATGCAGGAGGCAGATAGAAGGATCCTTGTCCAAGGCCAGACCAGGTAAAAATGCAAGACCCTATCTGAAAAATAACTAAAAAAACAAAAAAGGGATTGGGGGTGTGGCTCAAGTAGTAGGGCATGAGGGCCTAAATTTAAACCCAGTACTGCCACCTTAAAAAAAAAAAAAAAAGTAGACTGCTATTTTCACTGATGGCTTATATTCATTTTTAATTTTTGGTATTCAGGATGTTCATCACAACAGCAATTAGGGTGATTTAAGAGTTTACTGGTTTTGCTCTTGAAATTAATCTCCCTCAACAGAGAAGCAACATGTGAGCCCCATTCCCATGTGACCGTATGCAGATCCTGCTGTTCTAGGTTAGTATCAGTGTCCTTTGATAAGTAACTAGACAGTGGTTCCAACCTTTGCCCACTACATACTCATGTAACCAGTACTAGTTCCTAAAGCAGTGATTGTCAACTGGCTAAGAACTTGCCAACCACTAAGAAGAATCAGGGAGCCAGAAACTGGGAGCCTCCAAACTGATTTCCAACAATGAGAACAGGATGTGCTATTCTCTGTACATTCTGAGGCTGCTAAAGAGGAATGTCCTCCCGTCAGATATTGTGTGTTCTTAAAACTACCTAGCAAAATGGGGAGTCTCATATCCTCAGGGCTATAGATACATGCTTGAAAACAGGGTTTCCTAGAAGTAAGTCCATGATTGCCAAAGCATTATAGCTGAGTATCCAAAAAAATTGAAAATTCCTGCACATATAAACTACCCAGTTCTGATATTTTCTTTCTATTGCTAAGGCAATCTTTTTTTATAAAGGGGGGGGGTATGCCAATAAGACAATCAACCCAAGCCTCTGAGAAAAAAATTATAGTGATAAGCAGAGGAAAAACAAAGAGCTGCTGCCAGAGCCAAACATATCTGTTCTCTAAAGACTTATAAAGGAAAAGTAACCAGAGAGTAAATACTGTGCCATTTCATATCACCTGTATAAGCATGAAGTTATTCTGTTTTAAATATTAGGCCCTGTGAGTTAAGGATCTAATCATTTTCATGACCTCAAATAGATCCAGAACATCTTATTTTATCCTGATACACTATTTCCAGAATAGCAATTTACTTTTAATCTATAAACTTGAAAATGGCAGAAAAGCTTGTTTTAAAATGAGGCCTTTTTTCAAATTTTCACTAAAATAAATTGAAAAAAATCTGTTTTTCTATCAATGAATGGAAGTTCATACACTTACTTATATATAAACTTATACATCCACACTAGTGAAAGAGACATTTGAGTGCTCCTAAATAATGGCAGGAGAAACCCAAGCAATTTATGTGGAACTAGCAATGACAAAAACAGACAGGTTCTGTCCTTTCAAGCTCCCAGCTCCAGAGAACAGCTGACCACTAACCTTCCGACTATCAGTTGGGTGAACTTCATCAGCAAACACCTTAAGGAAAGAGCAGCTGACCAAACATTTAAGTTTAAAGTTTCAGAAAGAAAATACTGTTTAAGTTAAAATCTTGAAGTTCACTGTTAGCTCACAAATGTCAGGTCATATTCTTTGATCGATTTTTATTTTAAAGTGCTTAAACACAAAGGCCTGAAAATGGCCTAATAATACTATCACTTAATTTTATCTGTTAAAAAATTATAACTTTTTTAAAATCTAACATTCAAGTTTGAAACAAATGGGTGAAATCCAGAATTAACACTAGAGCTTCACCCATAATCAGCACTCTTACGTCTTGGAATACCATGATTCACTAGTGCATATGATCCATAGGATTAAAGCAGGACACCCCAGATTAGAAGTATCTACCTGAAGCGCCTCTCATCTCAAAGTCCATACTTGCTTCCTTTAAAATTAGGCCCACAACAAGCAGTAAATATGGTCCTCTAAGAGAATATGGCCCCACACTGATACTATATATTAATCTAATTAAAATAAATGACTGATGCTAGCATAGAGTACAGACATTTCAAAACATATGCAAACAGAAAAGAGATATTACCAGGCCACTTAACAACGTTATAAATATTCATTTCTAAAATCAAGTCTACTCATTACAAACTGAATACTAAGTATTTCAGACACAAATTCCTGAACATTTTTACTAATATGTATATAAATTTAAAACAGATATAGTGATTCAAATACTCAAATTCGTAGAACTAGAGATCCAATAGCTATTCTCTTCTTTGTGAAGACTGTCTAATCCGCATGTGCTCATCAGAGAGAGAAGAATCTGAGCAGTAACATTCCTTCCTTTCCTTGACATCTTGACTCACAGGTGAAAATACTCAAAATGAAACTTGAGGTGATTATGAGTTGATATTTCTCTAATAAGTCTACTTTACCACAAAATACTATTCTAAATACTTCCACTTTTCCAACAGATTTGTGTAATTGCCTGGAGAAAGACTAAAGATAAAATGAAAGACTCTTTTCTTCAACCTTTTAAACTATTCCCACTGTGGACTTCTAAACTTACTGATAATTTTTTTAGTTTAAATCTTCAACTCATTGTTAGATTGGAATACAAAACTCATTAATTCTGTTTTTCTTGCTGTTTTCCATACTGACTTTTTATATGCCAAACACATGGCATGTTTGTTTTTCCCTGAACACAATTTATAGAAATTCCCTGAATAACAAAAAGAAAACAATTTTCTTATATTCACTGGACAGCTAAAAAGAATTCCAAAAAGAAAACAACTATTTTGCTGCTGTAGGTACATAAAGGATACTTTTATCATTCCATTCACGTCACTGGAATGTATATGGAAGACATCTGTACAGCAGATAAGGAAGTCAGCAGCCAGAGTTAAATATACAAAGTACTGTAACAGGAACAGTTGTGAGTTCTTAAAGGCTGGGATTAGCCACCCAAGAATTCAGTTAAGTACAGTACATAGCTAATAATTCACAATTGACAAGTAGGCTATAAAAATGCTATAGTATCACATTAGTTATCTGAAGAACTATGAATCTTCCAATTGTAAACTGATAAATTCCTGAATGCATTTCTTATACTGCATTTCAGTATGGTTATTAGTGGAATATTGACCTGGCTGTCCATAAAGTCCTTCTGATTCCCGCATCTCTTCATTCATTCTTGCTAAACGTAACCTAAAATTAGATAAAAGGATCTTTTAGATGAAATTACACATATAAATGTTCATAGATAAATGAATTACATTAGCAGATAATACACATATAATGTTTTTCCTTTATCAGTATTTGCCACTAAAACAAATTGGCTTTTAGTTTATCAGACCCAGCAATCTAAGATACCAAATAACTATACCTCACCTCATACAATTCTCATGAGAAAAGACAATAAAAGATTTCTGACACGTACATTTCAGCTCTACTTAAGCAGGATCCCTGCAAGCCCTCTCTCCCTCCACCCTGGAGCTTGCTTCCTCCAGGCTTTAGTGAATTCCTGGCTCCTACAGTTACATGTCAGACTCTAACTGCCAACTGCTGAATACTGCTTCTTTAGTATGTTCTGGCTCACTATGAGGTGAGGTAGTTCCCAATGTATAAATAGCATGTGTAACCTCTAAATAATACTGAGAATATATTTTGGTATATATTTGATATGTATTGTATCAAATGACTATGGGTTACCAAGATTTTTCCAAGGTTACCAAATTCTTTTTTGGGTTATTTATCCTAACAGCAGATGACACGTAGCATTGGATTGAGACAACAAGTATTTCTTTGCCTTTTTTTTTTTTTTTTAAACTAACTTTAAGTAACATTTTGAAATAGGCAAAAGTTCTCTTTGGCACCCCTCTCGTACTTTGCACTGCATGCCTTTCTTCTGGGCCATTAAAGATCCACAGCCAGCCAGGCCTGATGGCTCACACCCATAATCCTAGCTACTCAGGAGGCAGAGATCAAGAGGCTCAAATTCAAAGCAGCCCCACCAAATAGTTATTGAGACCTATCTCAAAATAGCTAACACAAAACAGGGTGAGCAGAGTGACTCAAGTGGCAGAGTGCCTGCCTAGCAAGCACAAGTTCAAATACCAGTATTACAAAGGGGGAGAAAAAAAAAAGTAAAAAATATCCATAGGTTTCCCATATGTCTATTGCTGTCTTCTGACATGTTCTCTATAGCAGTTTTAGCATGACAAGAATGGACTTCATCTCCTCTCTCAATGACTATGTGAATTAGTAATAACTCTTCCCTTGATACACGGCTTTTTAGAGAGGATGCTTATTTACAAAAATTCTTAAATTTCCTCAAAGTAAAATCAGAAAAGGTAGACAAATTGGAAACAGATTTTTTGGAGATAAGGGGCCACTGCGACACAGGAATTGCCAAGAAAGCTGCATCTAGAGTTAAGTTTCTCTATAGTATACCATTTTTTTGGTCTCCTATTCTAAATCTATAATGGTTTAATCATGTACATTTTCCTATATAGCCCCCACAATAACCATAACCCCTCAATGGAGAAAGTGTGCTTTGCAGGGTTGGTACATGGCAAGTCAAGAATTTAAAACTTTGACATGTATGGAGAAGTGTGTGGCACATAGTAAACACCAACCAAGTTTAAAGTACACACGTAAGAAGGAAGCTCCATGTGGAGACTGTAGAAGCAACAGACTGTATTGGAAATGATCAATGAAAAGAAAATACTTACAAGGTTACTATGTCAGCATTGGCTGCTTCCACAGCTATGCTCAGCGGGTCTTTCCCTTCTTCGTCAGTGGCATGCTGGTTGGCTCCTCGCTTTAGGAATAGACACACCTGCCTATTGAGGAAATAGCAACTCTGAGATACTAGCAATAAGGAACAACTAATACTCACCTTAAAAACGAAAAACTCTACCGAACTTCAAGAAATCACATTTTCATTGGAAAATTCATTCATTTTACAATTAATAAACATTGACTCTAATAACAGAAAACTTATCAAGATCAATATTTTATAAGTCTCTAAGTTTTTCATTTGTATCATCTTATATGCTCTGATGCTATGCAGCATGATAGGATATGCATATTAATAGCCCCTGCTCTCAACAAAGCATTAAAAGCTGTATGTAGGAACTGTGAAACCTAAACAAAAGAAACATCATTTAAGCCCACTGTTTATGAATGAAGAGAACCAAGGCAAAGTAAGCAGCATAATAATTATAATACAACAGCAAAAAGGAGGAAGTAATCTTCCTGATCTCCTCCACAAATATTCATAACTTGAAGAAATCAATAAAAACTTTAAAAATACATGAAAGACTGGGTTAATTAATTAAGTCTATGAAATAAAATGGGAAGAATTATGATGGTTTAAGAAGAAAATAGGTTAAGTTAAATAAAACTGTTTTTAATTGAGCATAAGAAATTTTTATGATGAAGTTACTGAACTGAATCTCTTTGCTAATAAAAGAAAAACAAATTATAATAAAAATAAAAGATACTATTAAAGGGGTAAAGGGTATAAGCTCAGTGATAGAGTGCTTGCCTAGCATACACAAGGTCCTAGGTTCTATCCTTACCACCACACACATGAAAAAATATTAATAAATGTGATATTGCCTATATAATAAACATGAAGAAAAAAAGATGATGTGTATGGTAGCAAACACCTGTAATCCCAGCTACCCGGGAGGCAGAAGTAGGAGGATCAAGGTCCAAAGCCAGCCCAAGCAAAAGGGTGAGACCCTCTCTGAAAAAGAAACTAAAGCAAAAAGTGTTGGAGGTGTGGCTCAAGTGGTACAACATGTGACTACCAAGTGCAAGGTTTAGTTCAATCCCTACTATCACCAAAAAGTGAATGAGTGCATGTGTGTAAAACAGCTTCTTGCCTATCCAGAAATAATAACTGGAAACCCTGAGATGTCTTACTTAAAACACAATCACCTATGAGGGCCAGACAGAGTGGTGCACTCCTACAGTCCCAGCTACTTGGGGGGCAGAGATTGGGAGGATCAAGATTCAAAGCCAGCCCAGGGAAAAAAGTCAGTGAGATCCCATGTCAACGACTGGACATGGTGGGACACACCCATAACCCCAGTGATGTGGGAGGCATAGGTAAGAGGATCAAGGTTCAAGGCCGGTACTGGACAAAAAGCATCAAAAAAAAAATAACTAAAGCATGGCTCAAGTGGTAGAGTGCCTGCCTAGCAAACATGAGGTCCTGATTGAAACTCCACTACTGCCAATAAAAAAAGAATAGAATAAAACATAATCACCTATGATACAAACTTTTTGTATAAAGCCAGAATTTTTATTTCATTTATACCTTCTAATAGAAAGTCAGTTTCATGGCTTTATTGTTCTATGAGTCTTAATATTTCTCCAGAAGCCACAGTGTTAACTGCTCAAACTAAGATTTTAGTTTACAATTTGACTAGCTCCCCCAAGGAAACACCAAAAATTTCAGTTACAAAATTTTCCCAAAGTAGGTTTTCTTGTGTGTGCACTATATAGATAATAAAAGTGTACATGCATACATGTACATAGGCTTAAGCTGTTTGACAAAATCACCACAATTTCAGTAAGAGAGGAAAGTTAAGTACTAAACCTGATCTATCTAATAACAAGTCAAGGTTAAAGCAAGATCTGTAATTTTTCTATATGGAAAAGAACTATGGCTTTTATCTGAATGAGAGTTTTTGAATTTCAAATTCTAGCACGACAACATAAGTCACAGGAACGCATCTCTTTACAAACTCTACTTCACGGTATTTTTTCAAATAAAATCCACCTAAATATTTAAGCATTAAAGTTACCCTGTGTGTCCTAAGACAGTGGCATGGTGCAGTGGTCCCCGCCCTTGGACATCTCTTTGGTTCACATTAGCACCATTCTGCAGGAGGAACTCACATGTCACCAAAGAGCCCTTAAAGAGACAAAAGGATAACAATGCACACATGCAAACAACAAGAAACGGCAATACTTTCCTATTTTTTAAACAGTACAGTTTTACTGTACCCAAATAGCACTTCCATTTCATTTTCTACCCAAAAATACATTCCAGAAAAATCATAGAAAGACTAAGTTATACTAGTTTCTTCCCAAGAACTACTTCTTGTAATTTGAGATCTAGCAAAACACACTACTACTTTCATTATGAGACTCCTCCATCCATTACCCCTTACCCTGCTGCCAAAAAAGCAGAAACCACCCAAGTGATACTCAGAAATCACTACTAGGTACACAGAGTCAATCCTCTTTATTTTCCAACCCAACTCTTAGAACAAAAAGAAGAATATGAAAACCATACCAAAATGTATGATATTTTACATTGTACTGTCAATGAAAACCTCAGTATATTACTTCCTACCCCTAGTACAGCTTGAATGAGTGGTGTGGCTTTGTTTTCGTCTGAATTAGCCCAGTTCACATCTGCACCATGAGCCAAAGCCTCGGCCATTTTAGGAAGGTTTTTTTCATATGAAGCCCTATAAAGCTGAAGTCCTGGATTAAGATGTTTAGAGTCAGGAAACACAGAAGAATCTTGCCTTTCCCCTTCTGAAAAGCAAACACAAACACATTAATAAAAATGAGATGTTGGTAATGCGGGAGAATGTATAACAGTGGAACAACTAAGTGAATATATACTGAATTCCACTGAATGGTTCATTTAAAAATGATTAGGATGGATTAACTTTAGTGATTAAGATAACTTTATGCTATGTGTATTTTATCACAATTTTTTTAAAATGACCTCTTAAACTTATCACAATGTGAAAGTTGTAACATAAGAAAACCAAATTAACCTATCATTAATGAGCTTATGAGAGATTTTCACAGATATCTTATTTCCTATAGACTAATCATTCCCCAAATGTCCACCATTCTCCTATAAAGATATCAAGTGGTATGCTAGGCTTCTGTGGTCTTGCCAGTATCCAATAGATAGTTGCTCTATAAAAATTGGCTGTATTCCTATAAGCCTGGCCTTAAGAAGCAGCAAGAAATCTGTAAAGAATTTTACTACTGTTCAAACCTCAATTCCTAGAATGATCCAATACCATCACAATTTACACTGCAACCAGTTCAAATAATTTGAAGAATGTTTACTCCCCTGAGAATTCTGCAAAACCAAAATCACTGAAATCATGTCAGAGAGAATATAGGAATAAAACCCTAATGGGGAAGGAGTTGCTGATCTCTTTCTACTGATAAGAAAAGACAGCCATAGGGAAAGATAAAGAATAAAGCTGGTGGAGTGGCTCAAATAGTGGGGCATCTGCCTAGCAAGTGTGAGACCCTGAGTTCAAACCCCAGTGCTGACATAAAAAAGATAGAGAGAATAATAAGACACAGTACAGGTAAACTAAAAGTTATCCTTACCTATTGGCAAGGTACTTTTAGCACTTATAATGCAGCTTGGAAGAAGGTATAACTAAGAACTTCCAATATGAAGAGAAATAGCTGCTTTCTCATTTAACAGTATTACTCCTCCCCAGTACCAAAACTATTTAATCAAGAATTGGCATTTACTATATGCATTTTTCAGCAAAATATAACATTAGTGAATATCATTAAAACTCACCAGGCTCATATAAACTATTGGCTGACACTGTGGAGGGTAAAGATTCTCTTCCATCATCTGAGCTTTGCTGGATACCACTGTCATTACTTTTGACTGTTTTAAAGAAAAATCAGCTAGTGATTAAAGGTCATGGCACTTAAAAGCAATCACTCACAATAAGATTTTAAAGTAAGCTCTTACATATCAACATGAACTCAGCCACCACCAGTAGAACACACTTAATACAATTTTAATACTATTAAACACTTAGCTTATTGAGATATAAATCAATCACAAAACCTGAAAATAAACTTATTTTCTGAGGTGTAACATATCCCATTACCCCATAAAATGTCAAGGGGCATAAAGAGCTTGATTTATTGCATGACTGTAAGTAATGTGTAATTCTGAGACAATGGGAAACATCTAGAGAAATGGCCACACCGCACAATGACCACTAGCACAGACTTGGAATGCTCCACAAGAGTAGTACTTACTACTACGCAGTTTTGAAGAAGTATCAAAGTAGGAGAAGAGTGAATCTAGCTCATCAGGACAGAACAGAGACTCCCGCCTGGCCTCGTCGCTATTTACAGCAACCACTGGGGACATGCAAGTTAGCAAAGCACAAAGCAGGCCATAAGAAGGGCAAAAGGGCAGGAAAAAAACGTTACTGGGAAAAATTTAGAAGGAAAAAATAGGAAGGAAATCAGGTAGTTAATCAGATAGTTAGGGCTTCTGGCATGATAGATTTATAATTCCCATCTCCCCTTGCGTTTTAAGCAGTTTTATTCCTTAGAATATACACATTACCTAGAAATGTGAATTATCATAGTACCATTTCAAAGACACAGAAATCTAGTTTTTGTTCTTAGAATATGTAGAAGAAAACAAGCGCTTGATATTTTTAAAACCTGCAATGGCTACCAATTCAAAGATTATGAAAATGACTTCAACTCAAGAAAATATTTATATCCACAGCAAGAGAGGTGTAATACCTGAACTCTGGACAGATGCTCTGACTTGGTCACCTGGCCCAAGTTTAGAAATGCTCAGCCTCTTTTCTTCATAACCTTTGGAGACAATCTTTTTTTCCTGCTCAGGAGGTAATGATGATATGGAATATTTATCCACAAATTTCCTCTCCACATATTTTGCTCTGATATATGCCTCTTTTTCCTGTCTGGTACACACAGAAACATCATGATGTTTTGCTAAATCCCTTAGCAAGACTAACAATGAAAAGATGCCATTATATATTCAGTATTTTCAAATCAAGTTATTAAATCTAACACAAGTGAAAACTGAATTTGTGACAGTTACTATACAACAATATACAACATGTGTTCCTTCCAAATATTTAATGAATTGACTTCACAGCCAAATGAAACACAAATAACCTAACTAAAAAGTCACAGTGGTAGCATAGTACTTCTTAACTTAATTTCTGTGTGTATTCATTTCTATATATACTCTCTCATACTTTTCTCAAAATGAAAAACACTATCAGGAAATCTATTAAAAATTAACTTTAATTTCATTTTTATTCAAAAAGATACTGTCACATGCTGAACTATCACTACTGATGTCCATAATTTTTCATAAGATAACTACTTATCTCCTGGGCTGGAGGCAGGTTGAAAAGGTGAGGGCCTGTGTAGTAAGCACAAGTCCTGAGTTCAATCCCCAGCATGGCCAAAAAAAAAACCCATATATACACACATACATATGTATGTCACATTTTGAACTTCTGACTTACAATCATAAAATACCAAATCTGTTCTATAATTTTTCTTACTTTCTCTTCTTCTGACTAAAAGATAAACATTTTTCTAGGTCTAAAATAATTCAGTCATACTTCAGCAAATATTAAGATTCTGATCTAGTGACATTGGCTTAAAGAGCTAAAATCTCAACATAGGATATAGCAAATGAAATTTTAATGCTAAAAATAAAGAATCAAAATGACTAAAAATGGAATCAACAACAAAAATTGTGTGTCTTGAAGGCACTGACTTTAGCTGCTTCATTCAATAAGTCCCCTTTATAGAACTGGAAATATAATTTCACACAAAGCAATTAAGCCCTCACTCTGCCTTTTTCATCTTGATTGCTCAACATCACAGTGCCATCTGTCGAGGATGTGATTAACAAATATTTATTGAACTAAGTCAAGCATTGTAAAATTATTCATTACAGGTAGCAGAAATTTGATCTTTGGAGACATTAATGAACAGATTCTTTTGAATTCCTGCCAGTAGCAAAACCTTGTTCTACCTTAGCAGCCGAAAGCATTTACACTCCTATGTAGAGACCTAATTTTTAAGATTCCTTTTCATCTAAAAACTATAAATGATTACCTGCTCAATACAGGGTAATTTTATAACTAATATTCTCAAGACAGAGACAGCCACATTTGAACAGAAGCAGTAGTGATGAATTCTAAACTCTGTCTCAAAGTTATATGTCAATAATAGTAAAATAAAATCATAGCTATATTCTCCTGGATGGGGGAGAGGTAGCATATTAAGATAATTAAAATAGTACCTTTGTCCTGGCTGTGGTTTCTTTATTCCCATTTTTTCCACTTTAGCTTCATAAACACGATTTATAACATCATTCCCCAACTCACACATAAGCTGTTTGGCAGGAAAATAGAAAAGTAAGCTATGATATTAAAAGTTCTTAAAATAAGCTAAAATTTAAGTCCTTAAAGCAGGTACAGTTAACTAATTCCTTGCATGTCCTGCAATTGTTCATTTCACAAAGAAGCTTAACATTAAAATGAGACCAGGACTGAGAGTAGTGTTGTTTTGCCATTCTTCATGAGAAGACCTTCCCTACAACACTTCCACTCCTACCCAGATTCTACCTAACTGTATGTACATTACACAATCACGTTTATCTAGCTATCTAGCTACGTATCACAGCTACTACAGCTGCATGTCTTTAATAGGGCAAGAAGTACGCTAGTAAATCATTGCAATACAGTAGGTATAACTAGTATTAGCTAGTCTAAAGAAAATAAAGTTAAATATCTATTCTTTTCTGTTTTTTCCCCATTTCTGCTTCCTTCTCCTTAAGTTCTATCTCCAAATAAAAACCAGCTTGTTATATGTTCCAAATCTTACAGACACTCCTTTTTATCTGCTCATCTGCCTTGTTACTTCAGTTCACACTTTCCCCAACTCATTAACAAACCATATCTGTAGTCTCTCTGCAGCAAATCATACCACTTCTAATTGTGCCCATTCTAGACTAGGCCACTACATCAAGCACATTTACTATGCCAAGATGCAGATCGCCTAATCCACTGTCCTGAAAAATCTTAGCTGGCTAAAAAAGATACTGCTAGTATGCTAGGATAACACAACTGTGGTGGCAGAGAATAGAGATATTTGGCCATGTGAGTGAGTGGGAGAGGGGAAAGGCCTGGGCTGAGACTGCAAGAACATAGAAATGCAACTGAACCCAAGAACAGGAGCAAAATCTGGGAAGAACATCTTAAAAAGTGGACAGTAAACAGGCAGGAGAGGATGGTTTTCCTTTCTCCCATTGCCTTAGTCATAAGCCCTTTTAGAATCTCATTACTTCTATATGTGACATCTCTCTTCTATCATGGTTTCCTGTCCTCTCTTCTATTACTTCTCCCTCTCTCAATTTCTCTCTCCTGACCCCACAGCCCAATTATCTCTTATAAATTTTAAATATGCTATTTCATTTAGTGGTTTGTTTTTTTTTTTGGTTGGGGGGGAATACTAGGTCTTAAACTCAGGGCCTCACACTTGCTAGGCAAACACTTTATCACTTGAGCCACACCTCCAGTCCTTTCTTGCCCTAGCTAACTTTGGACCACAGCCTCCTGAGTAACTGGGATTACAGGAAATGTACCACCACATCCCTGGCTTGTTTTTAAGATAGGGTCTTACTAACTTTTTGCCCAGACTGGCCTTGAATTACCATTCTCCTATCTCTGCTCCCAAGTAGCTGAGATTATAGACATGAACCACCATTCCTGGTCCTAAATGTCCTATTTCCTTCTTTGAGCAATTACAACTACATTTTACTTATGATGTTTTTTTTTTCAAAGTAAAGACACTAATTGTATGTTAGCCTTTATTTATTTGTTATTCTGGCTGTCCTGAGGTTTGAACTCAGGGCCTCACACTTGCTAGACAGGCATTGTACCACTTAAACCCTATCCCAATATATATGATCCTTTACAAAATCTGTACTAAGTCAGGTGCAGTGGCTCATGCCTATAATCCCAGTTACACAGGAGACAGAACCAAGGCTCATACCAGTAATCCCAGCTACTTGTGAGGCAAAAATGGGGACAATCACAGTTTGAGACCAGCCTAGGCAAAAAGTGATATATCTCACCAAACAAACCAGGAGTGGCACAAGAGGTTGTAGGTAGGAACATCATAGTCCAAGGCCAAGAAACATTCAATCTTCTCTAAATATGCCTAAAAAGGCAAAAAGTGCTAGAGGCATAGCTCAAACAGCATAGTGCTTGGTGAGCCAATGTAGGTCCCTGAGTTCAAATGCCAGTACCACCAAACAAACAAACAAACAAATGAAAACTGCACTAGAACGTAAGAGCATAAGAACAATAAAAACACAAATTTATGACAGATGCAGAATATACTCTAACCCTTCAACTAGTTTATTTTCTATACTATAGTAAACTAGACAGTGGGAATTAAAGGCATATACTATTGACTGCCACAAATTTTGCCAATCTTATTACCATAAATGCAGTAGTGGTCTAAAATTATTTATGACATTTTCATAGATATGAATCCTTAGACATGGAGGGAAAAGGATGTCCTGGTTTCATGACTGCTATCCCGCAAATGCAAATTTGCAAATGGTCCTAATCCTAAAATAATCCAGTGGTGCCACTTTGCTGTACCAATCCATCAGAGTTTACCATAGCAATGTATCTATTATATTTTAGTAATAATATAATTATAAAAGATTAAAATTATGGGAGCTAGTGGCTCAAGTTGGTAGAGTGTCTGCCTAGCAAGTGTGAGGCCCTGTTCAAACCTCAGTACCAAAAAATATATAAATATATTAAAATTATGGCATAGTAAACTAAAATTTTTTTTAAAAACATGAAAGTGTAGGAACACTGTTTTCTTAAAACAGTGAACCAGCTTAAGAGTTTTAAGAGTGCTATGTAGCACTCGGTGTGATGGCATATGACTGTAATCGCAACATAAGGAGGCTAAAGCAGGAAGATCATGAGCTCAAGGCCAGCTTGGGCTGTACAGCAAGATTCCATCTTAAGAAACAAAACAAACATAAGATTGCTGTATAAATGGAGCAATTTAAGTAACTTATTATGAAAACATCAGATTTGACAAAATAGCCTTGGATATGTTCTAGCACAATTTAGTTCCCTGTTAGCTTAAGTAACTGATAAATTTGTGAACCAAGATTCTAAAATCCTCATGTATGTGAAAATGTGAAATGTTTTCATGCAAATATTTCTTTTACCTTTAAAAGTTCAGGCTCCCAGGTGTCTAAAGTTAAGGATCGTACTTTTGAAAAATGAACCCCCAGACTCCTATATGGAAAAAAAGACTACATTATTCCCTAATAGAAAATTATTAAGTATCTACTTGATTTGCATATTTACACAAATTCTTTTTCTCTTTTAAAGTGACATAGGCCTAATATAGGCCTCAACACACATATAAATAGGCATCAATCTTCTGGTTAATAATAAATGATGAACCAAGTCCTCAAGAAGACTTTACAAACCAGAACTTTACCCACTTTATAAAATATAGAAAGAAACAAATTGATAGTTAAATTAGGAAAATGGAAAAGTTCCTTTAGCAAATAGAATACAGTAATTTACAAAGTGTAAATCCAAAAGAAGTGTCTCACTCTGGGCAGGCCTACCCACCGATGAATCCCTGAACACTCAATACACAAGGTGATGCCCAAGTTGATGCTGGCCCACCGCGGATCTGCCAGACCACAGTCACAACAGCTAGCGTTGCCCGGGATACACTGGACCCTCTGTAGTGCACTTTCTCCTTTCAATAATTTCTCTTTTGACTCGTTTCCAGAATCTAGGCTTCCTGTTGATGGAGATGACTTCTTGTCCAGCTTCTAAAAGAATTAAGAATTAGTTGCTGTTTTGTTCTTTAAAAAATTATCTTGCATACTACATGCTCCAAACAAAAGCTTTCAATCTATAAATTAAAGGTCTATATTGAACAGAACACAGGTGCTTTTTTAAGCACAGGAGATTGAAGAATGAAAAGATAGTTCCTTCCTCAGTAGACATATAGTCAGGTAAGAGGAAACATAGAAACATTTAAAATTATATACAATAACTGACACAATGAACATATAAACAAGATAAGGGGGCAGACAGAAGGGGCAGGCAGTAAGAAAGGGGAAGATAGGGCAAGCCACAGAGGAAATAATTAAGATACTCTTAAAAATTCAGAATAAAATAAAATCTCAGCACTAGAAAGTCAAGGCAGAAGAAGGGCAAGTTTGCGGCCAGCCTGGGCTACACACCAAAACAAAAAAAAAGAATAAAATAAATAAATATTACTTCATACCACTTTTCCCAAGATGTTCAATTAACTGTAAGTTATTTTAATTACTTCAGTAAATAACTAGAAAAACTATGCCTTATATAATTAAATACTAAAGAACAGATCATCTACATAATTGTATTTAGAATGAACCAACAATAAAACACACAGTCATAAGTAAGAAGTTAATTTTTAAGTGCACAGCAAAGTTTACACCAATAATAAAAAGTGCTTAATGCTTATAAGTATATGTCCTTCATGGCAATAATACCCACATACAAAGATGTAGCTCACAGATTCTAAGCAATTAAAGATACAGTCTATAAAAAGTTTTCTGATTTAAAAATGGTACAATTTTAAGAAGTCAGTAGAATAGAATAGGGTCATGAGAATTATATTTGGCTCTTTTATGTCCTTCCTTAACACTCAATTCTACAGCCATTAGTAGGGCTGAGAAAGGTTAAGTGTGGACAAAGAATTCCAGCGAAGACTGAATGAGGCATGTATTCACTTAAGAGCACAACCTTGTGCAAGTTATTGGATCCTCAAGCAGAATGTCTGCACAGGTAGATAATCCAGCAATGGAAACAAGGGCCTGTGTAACAAGAGGGGGCATGTAAGTAGTGTGAGGTGCCAGAGCCTAAATGGGATAAGCAAACATTGGTGCAGGACTGGGAGGATAAGGTTGGGGTCAGGTGGCAGCAGATACAGGATAGTGGTTACAAATGGGGTTCTATCAAAGTAAACAGAAAAATGGAAATAAAGACAAATTTCTCACTGCAGAGAAAGGAGTTATTTATATGGAAAGGAAGAAATTAGAATAAATCCTGTTACTAAATCAGAACTGGAGGTATTAATAGGCACGCTAATGGTTTTCAATGTAAACAAACAGATAAAGAAATATAAGATACAAATGTATGTGTATGTACACACATTGTAAACCTTATCTTGGTTTCTAAATTATCATTCTCCATCAAAAGGAACCAGGGCTCTTTGGAGAAATGGCTGGTTTTAGTGTTTGATGCAGAGAAAGCATAACAAGATGTGCCTAGAGCCTCTGGTGCTAGAAAGTAAAGAACTCAAAGATCAATAGAGACAACTCAAAAGAATACAGAAGACCCCCGGTTAAACTTGGGTCAGTTTAAGCAACAAAAAAAGTCATAGTAATGAGTTATAACACATTGGATAAAATAAGATTCCACAGTTAAATAATTAAATTTTGTCATAAATTAAAATTTAAATTTGGGTAAGGAACAGAATATATGCAGTTTCAAAGTACCTCCCCCACAACACATTTATTACCTACAAAGGTTAAAAGACCTTAAACTGGAGATTCCAAGATGGCGGCTAGAGGGAGGAAGCGGAAAGCGAGCCTCCTTTAGTGAAATCTTGGAGAGACGCTGGAGACACACTTTGCAGGCATAATCACTGAGAAGAGGCAAAACTCTGACCCCTCCACATCTCCAGCCGGTGCAGAGAATCTCCACTTCACGTTAAACGGAGAACCGAGGAGGCCCCCAGGCCGCCAGTGGCCGGCGCCCATACGGCTCGGGAAGACGCGGACCAGGTGAGCTTCGCGGTACCGCAGTACTCCCACAGACAAGCCTGGGCCAGAGCAGCATAGCCCCCTGGACAGACTGACCTCCACCCGAGGAAAAAAAGAGAAACTGAGTACTAAGCAATAAGAACAGTTAAGACACGCTGGAAAGAGGGTGGGGCGCCCTGAGCGCTGAAGACTGCGGGAAGGAACTCCTTCCCAGGACTGTAAATAAACAAGCCCGGCGGGCAGGAGAGGCTCTGGTTCACAACTAAGAGATAGCATAGGTAAATGGGACTTCATAAAACTAAAAAGCTTCTGTTCATCAAAAGAAATGGTCTCTAAACTGAAGAGAACACCCACAGAGTGGGAGAAAATATTTGCCAGCTATACATCAGACAAAGGACTGATAACCAGAATATATAGGGAACTTAAAAAATTAAATTCTCCCAAAACTAATGAACCAATAAAGAAATGGACAAGTGAACTAAACAGAACTTTCTCAAAAGAAGAAATTCTAATGGCCAAAAAACACATGAAAAAATGCTCACCATCTCTAGCAATAAAGGAAATGCAAATTAAAACCACACTAAGATTCCACCTCACCCCTGTTAGAATAGCCATCATTAGCAACACCACCAACAACAGGTGTTGGCGAGGATGCATGGGAAAAAGGAACCCTCTTACACTGTTGGTGGGAATGTAAACTAGTACAACCACTCTGGAAAAAAATTTGGAGGCTACTTAAAAAGCTAAACATTGATCTACCATTTGATCCAGCAATACCACTCTTGGGGATATACCCAAAAGACTGTCACACAGGTTACTCCAGAGGCACCCGCACACCCATGTTTATTGCGGCACTATTCACTATAGCCAAGTTATGGAAACAGCCAAGATGCCCCAGCACTGACGAATGGATTAAGAAAATGTGGTATCTATACACAATGGAATTTTATGCAGCCATGAAGAACGAAATGTTATCATTTGCTGGTAAATGGATGGAATTGGAGAACATCATTCTGAGTGAGGTTAGCCTGGCCCAAAAGACCAAAAATCGTATGTTCTCCCTCATATGTGGACATTAGATCAAGGGCAAACACAACAAGGGGATTGGACTTTGAGCACATGATAAAAGCGAGAGCACACTAGGGAGGTTTGAGGATAGGTAAGACACCTAAAAAATTAGTTAGCATTTGTTGCCCTTAACACAGAGAAACTAAAGCAGATACCTTAAAAGCAACTGAGGCCAATAGGAAAAGGGGACCAGGAACTAGAGAAAAGGTGAGATCAAAAAGAATTAACCTAGAAGATAACACCCACGCACACAGGAAATCAATGTGAGTCAATGCCCTGTATAGCTATCCTTATCTCAACTAGCAAAAACCCTTGTTCCTTCCTATTATGGCTTATACTCTCTGTACAACAAAATTAGAAATAAGGGCAAAATAGTTTCTGCTGGGTATTGAAGGGGTAGGGGGGAGAGGGAGGAGGCGGAGTGGGTGGTAAGGGAGGGGATGGGGGCAGGGGGGAGAAATGACCCAAGCCTTGTATGCACATATGAATTAAAAAAGAAAAAAAAAAGACCTTAAACTAACGAACCCTAGCAACAACAAAATTACCATCAAGTGACCAAACTTTACATCACAAATAGTGGGACAAATCAAAATATGCCACTATATAAAAGGCTACAGTGAGAACACAGTGTCACTTACATAATTTCCTGCCAAAGATGTACAACCTCAAGAGTAAATATTAGAAAAACCCAAACTGAGTAAAACTCTACAAAGTAACTAGTCTGTAATTTTCAAAGCCATCAAGGTTAAGAGGTCAAATTAATACTGAGGAAGTATTCCTGACTGAAGGAAATTAAAGAGACATGACAACTAAATTATCATGTACTGTACTTCTGGAATGAACCTTTCTGCTGTAAAGGACATTACTGAGCATGGGGATATAGCTCCGTGGCAGAGAGTACTTGCCTAGCATGCACAAGGCCCTGGATTTGATCCCCTGCACTGGAAAAAAAATTACTGGGACAATTGTTGAAACTTGAATGATGTTTAGGAATTAAGTGCCAGTAATAAATCCAGGCTCATGTGTTGGGTCTGACGGCTGTACTATGGTTACACAGGACAATGTCCCAGGCAGCAGGACAGCTGAGGGCTCATCACATTGGCAGCTTATTCTCATGCAGTGCGGTGGGGAGAACACCACTTGTACTGTACTTGGAACTTCTATGTAAGTCTGACATGATTTGAAAAAATGTAAAAAAATAAATATAATTTGCTTTATCAGAATGTTTGATAATATATTAGCTTAAAAGTAATTATCAAATAGGGAAAGAATGTCAGTATTACAGTGCAGAAATCACATTGGTTAGCTCCTGATTTTTCTTTATTTGCTACTGTTTTTACATCAAATTAAAGAAGCAGAAAGCTAAGTATACAAACACAGCATAATTCAGGCAAGACATCTGAAGAAATTCAGCACTGAACATGACACCATTTATAAAAATAGTAGACATGATAAAGAAGTAGTTATATCCCAGAGTCTTCTCCACAACTATGCCATTAGGGATGTTCTCTACACATAAACACAGGTGACTGGAAGTCTATTCTCTAGAGAAGTAAGAAAGTCAGTCTCTGGTTGAGGTTCGACTGAAAGAGGAAAAGCAGGGCATTAAGTGAACGTATGAATACTGAATGCTGATATATCCAATGCTTACTTGTCTGCCAGTCCCTTCCCCTATGGAGATCAGTGAGTTTTCTCTACAAAACCATACCAGCCAAAAGACTCCAAAGTTTGTGACTATGGTTGTTGCCCAACAAATAGGACCTGAGTTCAAACCCCAGTACCAACAAAAACAAAATTCCCCCAAACTAAGACAAAGCTTACAGGCCACAAAATCCTGCATCTAGAAGTTCCTCTCAGAAGTTCTGAAAGGTATGTAGTCTTAATTTATAATTATAAGCAGATTATCAGCGAGTTAAGGAAAACCTCTAACAATGGCTCTTAATCCTGGCTGTTTATGGAAATCACCTAGGAAATATTTTAAAATAATGATATCTGGGTCCAACTCCATTCAACTTATCCAGGGTGACTTTTTAAGTATTACTAGCTTTACAGTGTTGGCAAGAGTATGAGAGCCAGGCATGCTAGCAGGAATGTAAAACTCATACAAATTGCAAAGCAATCTGGTACTATCTATTAAAATTACAAATGTCAATATCTTATCCATTCTATAAATGTATATAAAACTGCAGTATTACTTATGTAGCAAAAGCCTGAAAACACACCAAATATTTATTTAAAAGGTACTGGCCCAATAGTATAAACTATAATCATAGAATGGAATATTTTGAAGCCCATGGAAAAAAATGTTAAATGTGGTTTTTAAAAACAAACCAATGAACAATCTCAAAGATTATTCTTTTAAAAACTCCTAGAACATTCTCAAAGTCTTATTAAGCATAAAAAGCAATACACTCAGCAGCATGTATAACATTCATCCATCTCACTATAAACGGAGGAGAATAAACTGTTCTTGTTGTCTAGAAGGACATTCAAGAAGTGGATGTGAGATGGAGTCTGGGTAATGGCGGTGGGAGCCTCCTTCTTCACTCCCTGTTATAACGTCAATTTTGAACCATGTTAGTATAACAACTTAAAAAATAAAGAAAGGTGTTTTTTAAAAAAAATTTATCTGGGCATTAGGTTTTTGTTTTGTTTTTTAAGGCTTCCTGTAATGTAGTGTACAGTCAAGGTAAAGAATCACAGTTCTAATATGCATCCATGGCAAAAGAACAGATTTGTCTGTACAAACTTTCAGCAAACAAAAAGGAACTCTTGGAAGCTAAATACGTGCTACTAGATGAAGATATTCAATGGAAGATTTGGCAAATTAACAGATTTCCCAGAGTAGAGAAAGACAACACACACACACACACACACACACCCCAAAATCTTAACGCCAGTTCACAAATTCTAGAAAGAGAAAACAGAAATTGGAGAGAAGACAAAGAAAAAATTACTAATAAGAAAAACTCTAACAGCAATACTGGAAACTTAAAAACTATAAAAATAAAACAAAACACAAGGCTATTAAAATTCTAAAAGATAATTATTTCCAACCTAAAAATTATATACCCATCCAAACCTCCAAATAAATGTGAGGACAGGACAGAACATTTTCAGGTATGCATGGAGTCACAAATGTCTCACATTCAGGAATATATATATTGGAGGAAGTCCTCAAGTTTGTCTTAAGAAGGAAAAAGATGAGGGACACAGGAAAGAAAGCAATCTCCAAAAATGGTTATGTATAAAATAATATATACTAATAAATAACTATGCTGAAGGCTTATGGGCAATGGATTCAGACTGGAGAAGTATGATTCAGGTGACAGACATATTGAGGGATATATTCACCAATATATACCCCTTTGCCTATGTTCCCACCATTTTTATCCAACTATGTCCAAGTGAACTTGGCTACTAATGACAATCCTACTCTCTTCTCTATGCCTTACTGCTTAAGAAGGCTTCTGCTTTGATCCTCTCCTGGAAGTCACAAGTTGGCCATGATGACCTTTGAAATACAATTTATACAACATTCCATTTCCCTAACCACAGTTCTAACACGTATCTATCACCAAGCCACAGGACCTACCACTGGTGAATTTCATTTGTCAAGACACATTCCTGGCCTTGATTAAAAGAGTTTATATGCTTTGGGTAACCTTCAACTAAGACTGCACTTTCCTTTTTTTGCTTTTTACTTAGTTTCAATTAAAATAAATCTTTTCACAGTAATTATTTTCTTTTATTATTAACTAAAATAGTAAAATATTCAGGGAAAACACTAACATCAGAATACCTTGTTCCAACCTGGAACACACATTCAAATATTAAAAAATATATTCAATGTTAAAATAAAATAAGTAAAATCAAGAGAAATAAACAAAAGAGAAAATGAATCTAGATTTTAAAACCTCATTTCAATTATATAAAATCATCCTTAATAAGAAAAGGATGTTATAATCATATCAAACACTGAGCAATAAATCAGTTGCTGCTGATGATATCTCTACTAACCTCTGATTCATCTCCCTTTTCTCTATAAGCAGTTGCAATACTGGTCTGAACAGCCTTAATCCATGCCTGGCGCAGCTTTTCAGAATCCGCCTGGAGCATGCAACTTCTAAAAGAAAGTAATATGTTGTTTTCTCAGACTCTAAATTAACAACTACAACAACAACAAAAAATCCATACACTTTATTTTGTCACTTTGCTATTTAATAATTTTTCACAAAAAATCGTATTTGTTGAAAGATTGGTTTTATTGAATCTGACACAGTATGTTTGTGAAGAAATCAAAGTGTCAATGAAATAAATTATCTCTTGAAAGCAAATTATCCATATTAAAATAATTAATCCATATTAAAAAAATAAATAAGCCAGGTATGGTGACCCACACTTGTAATCTCAGCACTTGGGTGAAGGAAGAGGATAAAAAGTTTGAGGATAGCCTGAACTACAAAACAAGACCCTGTCTCAAAAAAAAAAAAAAAAATTCCAAAAGCAGAAAAAATACATATTTAGAAGTATATATAGTTTAAAAAGCAGATTTAAGAGTATACTCTTAAACATACTATACTTTTAAAAATTGTATATAAGTATGAAATGATAGTTACAAAAGAAATTCATCTGATATATGAATTAAGTTCATCATCATCACAGCTAAAAAGTTTTCATACCGACACATAAATAATCTTTACAGAATTTAAAGAATATGGCACGTAGGGAGAAATTATGTAAATACTTGACTATAACACCTATAACCATTATTGAAATTTATTTTTAAAGGACTTTTTTCTTCTTTAGCATAGATAATCATAAAACAACACAAATTTCTCTTATCTGGAAAGCCCTTTAAGACAAACTTTAGAAGCACTTACTTTGTTGGAGAGACCACCTCAAAGCAGAATCTTCTCTCTATGTCTTCACAATGCTTCACTGTGCAGAGCCTGAGATCTTCCACTACTACAGTGGGGTTATCCTACAAAAAGCAAACAAAACTTCCCTATTTATCAATTTAGGCTTTCAATTCTGCTACTAATAATAATCCACTTCAAAATATCACTTGTAATAAAGGGCATAATTTTAAAGATTTATAAACTATCAACATATAATAGAGGTAATTTTGTCTTGCTAATAATTTTATTTGCCTCACAAAATTATTACATATGGATTACGTGAAACAGTTCATATAAAAAGTTTTGTCCAATGCTTGGTACTTAGTACATACCCAATAAATTCTCTTCTAGTTTCATTCATATCCATTACTATTACAGATAATAAAGACAACTTAATCCATATATAATAATTTATATATAATTTATGTTATTTTAAACCTTTCTGTGTTATCATCATTGGCCCTAACTTGTGCCTTAAAAGGCATACTCTCCTTCAGCATCTAGATAGTACTATGGAATGGTAGGATTCTTCCAGCTGCAGAACTAGACAAAGAAATTAAAGTAATAATCCTGAGGCACAGAAAAGTCCATCTGAAAGCTAGGAATTAAGAATTCAGGATTCAGGAGTGGCTCAAGTGGTAGAGCACCTGCCTAGTAAGCATGATGCTCTGAGTTCAAACTCCAGTATCAAAAAAAAGAATTCAGTATTCAGTGATTGAAGTGCATTATATACATGTTTGAAAATAGCACTAAATCCACTAAAAATTGTCTTAAAAGTGGGGGAGGGAGGTGCAAGGGGGAGAGGATAGAGTACTAGAGGGGGATGAATTTGATCAAAGTACATTATATGTATGTAAATATCACACTGAAATCCCTTACACAATATGTGCTAATAAAAATAGGAAAAAAAGATTCCATTATCATGAAAAAAATATATAGTGAGTTAGTGTGATATTCTGTGTAGTTTCAAGATGTTCCTGTATTACAATATTACAGCAATCGGGAGAGTTACAATAGCCTTTAGGTAAGAGAGTGAATATAGCCTTGTTATATAAAAGTAAGCTACCTTTTAATTTTTGTTAATGATGTATAATTTACACAAAAAATATGGAGACCTTGGCTGGAGTGACTCATGTGGTAGAGCACTTGCATTGTAAGTGCAAGGCCCTGAGTTCAAATCCCAGTACTGCCAAAAAAAAGATAAGTATCTCGTTTTAGAGCTGGCTCAAGTGGTACATCACCTGTCCTTAGCAAGTACAAGGCCCTGAGTTTCAACGTCAGTACCGCCAAAAAAAAAAAATGCAGAGGAGGGTCTTAAAATATGGAGACATTAGTTTTGACATATATGTCCATGTAACCATGATTCAAAACAAGATACACAATACTTCTATCACCCCAGAAAGTCTTCTGGTGCCCTCTTTCTAATTATTCTCCTTATACTTACCTAGAGACAAGCACTTTCTCCATAAATTTGTGTTGTCAGTTCTTAAAAATCATGTTAGTGGAATCATACAGTATGCATTTTTTGATGTGTCTGGTTTCTTTTGTGCAAATAATTCAGAGATTTCTGAGACTGCTGCTTTTCATTTTCTCTACTAATGATTATTTTTAGAATTAGATGATGCAAAAGAAAAAGAATTTATGATTCAAAACTACTCTGCTTTTAAGGATCAAATGTTGATAGCTTCCCAAATCAGCAGTGGTTGTGCATGCCTGTAATCCCAGCTACTCAAAAGTGGAAAAGTAGGAGGATCACTGCTCAAGGACAGCCAGAACTACCTCCAGACCATATCTGAAAAGCAAAAGGACTGGAAGCATGGCTCAAGTGGTAAGCAATTATCTAACAAGCTTGAGGCTGAGTTCAATACCCAGTACAGAGGGAGGAAGGAGGGAGGGAGGGAAGGAGGAAGGAAAGAAGGAAGGAAGGAAGTTGATAGTTTTCTTACACATACCCAACAACAAAACTAATACAAACAGTAATTATAGTACATTTACTCATGAGTATATACAGACTGCAATTTTACCAAGACAAACAAAAAACTAAAATTAGGAACTGGAGGTGTGGCTCAAGTGGTAGAGTACTTGCTGAGCATGTTGAGGGCCTGGGTTTAATCCCCAGTACTGGAAAACAAAACAAAAATAAATAAATAAAATAAAATTGGGAACTCACTGAGTTTTTACTTATTACTTAACGAAGCACCTACCTTAAACTTTTTCTGGTAAACCAGCTGATTGTTCTGTATTGAAAACCAGCGTCTAAATAAGACAAAATAAAATTTTCATAAATGTTGGTTATAGGTAGAAATGAAATTTTGAGAAAGCACTGGAAATCAGTTTATGGTAATTGTGTTTTGGGAAATTCAAGGTTTTATTCTTGCATAAACCAAGGGCAATATGGGATAAATTAAGAACAAGCATCTTAAAACCATAAATTAGAAAAAGAAAATTACTATATTTTGATTCATTTTATGCCATAAATTTATATCCTAAAAAAGCTGCTATTTTCACCAAATAGTTCCTCTAAATACAACTTTATAGCTTTTCGAGGTTCTTCAAAATAAAATCTTTTCCCCAAAATAAGTACTTTTATTATATAATTAAGGGGTATACAATGAATAAAAATATCCCTTCAAATACAGTAAAACATTAAAATAAATAGTGCTTTATTTTCAGACTTTCAGCAGATAATTCAGAAAGTGTTTGATTTCACAAGCAAAATAAAAATTTAATGACTTTAGAAATGGTATCAAACAAAATATAACCACCAATTAACTGGCCTTCCTTGCATATAAAATATTCCTAAGCAAAATAAAGTTATTACCACAAATGATTCATCAAACTTTTATGATTCTGCTCATTATATAAATTATTAGGAAAACAATGTACTTACAATCTTCTTTAGAAGAAAAAGCTAAGCCATGTATGCCATATTTACTAATTCTAACTTAATACAACAACAAAAAAGCCTAAAGATTTATAGAAAAAAATCACAGCCAAGAGCCATTCATAAAAGGAAGCAAAACTTCTCATCAAGCATGAAAAGTAAAACAATATTTGAGTAATTATTTTAAAATTAGTTTCATGTGAGATGATTTGTATTGTACACATTAATTATTAATCTATTAGCAGAGATTCTACCTTTTCATTTCTGTTTTTAAATTTTTAGATACTTCTCCAAAGCTGAAAAAATGATTAGTAGGAGATGCTTTTCCATTTTTAAGCCATTTACTAGATAGGATTGTTAGATATAACAAAAAGGCATCACCTTTATCATAAAATAAAATTATTAAATTATGAAATAAGCATCTAAATAAAATGAGATGGGTAGCCTCTAAATGCAAATCATCAAGAGGCAGGCTAGAAAAGGAAGAACTTCCAGGTATCTTTGTTTTGGGACAGATAGCTGGTTAGAAATGTTAATGGAAATACCTATACACAAACAAAATGGTGCAACCCTGCCACATGGGATGACATGCAATGGAAACAATCTCTGATACTGATTAAAGTTTTTTTATTCAATCATTTAAAGGAAGGTAAACTATAGTAACAAGATTCATAGGTATTATAGTAGCCATTGTATATAATTTGACGAAAACTACAGTTTTATTGCACAATGGAAAAACTTGTCATGCTTCTGAAGTCCTCAAAAAATAAATTTCTTTTAACCTATTCCATCTTGGGACAGTATTCCCTAAACATAATAACAAAATACTAGATAAAAACTTACAAGTTTTGTCAGAGACCATTCCCTCTGATTATCAATTTAATGAAATCATATCTACTTCTGAAACCTAGTTCCCTACCATTTATCAGCTTCTGGGTGATATTTTCATATCATCAGTTTTTCCACACACTCACGAAAGACAGTATGAAGTCATTCTATTTTTAGAACTCATTAAAAGAAAAAGAATCATGTGCCAAATAAATAAACATTTAATAAAATAAAAGCTTAAAGATATATGCTTCTTTATTTTAAACTCAACTATTTTTTCCATAGGGAAAAAATGGGGTAAAACAAAGAAATCCTAGAGACTGACAATGTATTCTTTCAACATAATTTATATGATTATCAAAGGAACTAATCCTACCTACTGCTGAATTTTTTAAGAGTTTGCTAGTTTACTCCCCTTATAAAAAATAAAGACACAAAGATATTCATATCACTCATCTGTACCTTCTCTGGGTAATTATAAGTACATCAAATGTTCTTTCACAGAGGAAAACAAATTGAAGAGATGGGCAATTAAAAGGTATGATTCCATTCATTAAATGAAATTCTTATATTTTCTTCCCAATTTATAACATCAAGAGACGTTTTATCCATTGCAAGTAATCCAACGGAAATGCAGGTTAATTATGAGCTTTCTCGTGCCAAAGAGGAAACTGAAGTAAGATGAGGGTGAAGGGGAGGAAGCCATTTGGTACCTGATATGATCGGGCTTTTTCCTGTCATGTGAAAAAATGGGGCAGGATTAAAACATAAGGGAAAGGTGGTAAAAGAATGAAAACGCAAATGTGCAAAATAAGCAAAGGACTAGCATGATACAAAAATAAGCAAGAATTAAAGGAACAAGCTTAAGCTCATAATCTAACAAAACAGTCAAAAGTATCTGCTGCATGTTATTTAGGCACTATAAATATACCCAGTTGTAGAATTAATTCCAATTCTTAGGACTCTGAAATGCTAATATTTTGAAACTATTCAAAAACTTGTTTCAAGTATTTCCTTATAAAAAGTTCCAGAAGGACTCCGTATACTTGAGCATACTTCTATTATGGTTTTCCGCCTCTATGGTCATAACTAGAAAATACAGATAGCACCTTGCCACATCTTATTAAACTGCTCCTAAAAATTAAGGGAAATAATAATTGTAGGTATATCTACAGAAATCAAAGACATATGAAAATTTTTCACAAGGAAGTGGGGTCACAAATTAAGAATTTCAAGGATCATAAAATACCAGCCAAATAAACCTCCCACCTGCCCATCACCATTTTTATGAAATGACAGCAGAGACTCTAAGGCCACACATAAGATTCATTTTTTTAATCTATGTATATGTTCACTTATTTTAAAACAAAAAGCCAATAAAACATTTATATCTGTACCCATAGCATATAGAACACTTTGCTTTTAAAACATGTGTAATATGTTTTATGCTTTTAGCAGAATTGTCTAGTTCAACAAAGACTTCAGCTCTTTTATTACCTTTTCCAAGTTATTACTGAATAAATAATGTTAACATTTGTTTATTTACCTGGTTATTCATCTTTTCTAAATTTATTATGGAAAGCAAAAAGAGAAATATAGGTTCCAGTAGTCCACTGGTTTAAGCCTGAAGTGAAGCTGTCATATCATACTGAGAAAATAAGAAAAACTTATTGTGGCAGTCCTCACATGTACCTTTGGAAAAATAGATACAGCAGTCCCTTGGTATCAATAGGGTACTGGTTCCAGGACACTCACCTCTATGGATATCCAAATCTGTAGATGCTCAAATCCTTTATATAAAAATGACTTGTATCTGAATGTTACCCTAAATATATCCTTCCATATATACATATGCATCAATATATACATACAGGATATGTGTATATGTAAAATGTACATGTGTATAGATAGATAGATAGATGTAGATAGATAGATAGATGTAGATAAATGGATGTATAAATTTTCCAAGCCCCCTTTAAGAGACAGGGTCTCAAACTATACTGCCCAGACTACTCTCAAATTCTTGGGTTGAAGTGATCCTCTCTCATCTACACATAAGATGTAAGAATTTTCACTCCTATGCTATTTGGATCACATTACATAAAATCTACCTATTGTGCTAACTTTCAGACTAGTAAATGCTGCTTTCAAAATAAACTTGCAATTTATGAAGCATGGGGTGAGATCATCCAACTATTTAGCAATTCCTAGACACATTTACATATTCTACAGAAAGGTCTTTTTAAAAACTGATGTTGAAAACATTATATGCCATAATTCCATAAAATTATAGATGACAAATATGTATGTCATCATCTGATTGGTACCTTATTGTGACTACAAAAAAAGTTCCCTAAAACTAATTGAACAATAAATATTTAGGGCTAGAGACACGGCTCAAGTGGTAGAGCATCCACCTAGAAAGTACAAATCCCTGAGTTCAAACTCCAGTACCATAAAATAAATATTTAATTAAAATATAAATTTAATAATTTAATTTTATTTAATTAAATATTTAAACAATTAGCAGAAAAATGTTCATGTCTGAATAGCTGGATGCCTGGGTGTTTCTAAAGTTAAGGCATAAATATCACAAATATATAGTCTTGCTCAGAGGCTAGTAGAATATATTAGATTAAGTTGAATTAAGTTGAACTAATTAACAAAGTAGAGTAGACTCTAAGCCAAACATGGGTAAAGGGAAAGTATTATAAGTATTTTTTGAGATTAGATTTTTAATAAACCTCCTTTAAGAAATTTAGATACATTTTAGTCTAATTTTTAATATTAAAAAACAAGAAATTTTAAATAACATTTCATAGGTTACTTTTCTTTCTTCTCTAATTTATATAATTCCTTTCTGCTGTGCTTTGCTATGATTTATCCCCCAAAGTTTAATGAGATGTCATCCTCCGTCCTCATGGTGGGTTGGGCCAAAACAATGGGACCACCCAACTTTGAAATATTGACTTCCAAAACTGTAAGTGAAATAAATTTTTTTCTCTCTCAACCATCTCTCTGAAGCTCTAAAACATAATCCATGATTCTAACCAGTAACTGTCATCTCACAAAATACAAATGGCAGTTCCTTTAAAAATCAGCTTAATTTCTAAAGGGGTTGTCTTTTTCATTTTGCAAATAACAAGTAACCTGTCTGTAATTTGAAGATTTTACAGCTATTCTCTACTTGATTTTAAATTTTAATACATATGCAATTAATGTAATTCATAAAACAAAAAACAAAAAGGTCCACACTTAAACTAATATTAATATACTTCTATTGCCCTGAATGACAATGTAATTTTCCACTAACACTCACTGTGCTTCATTTTAAAGTCTGAGATCATTTCTCATGGAAGTAGTCCATGGAAGTTCATTTCTTTTCTTCTTAACATAATGGTATATTTCTATGGATCTATTGTATTGTCATTTTGTTAAGCTTTAAGGAAGGTGATTTGAAATCTGAAGGTTAAAATTCTAATATTATATTATAAAACTGTATTGGCTGAATAATCTTTATTTCTTACAAAGATTCACCAATCACACTAATTTTTGTTTAAATTTCCTATTGTGGCTAAGAATTTTGCTGGAAAGGCTTAAAAGATTATTGTGTTAATTTTCAGAGCTTAGAACATAATTTTTCAATTTCACCTTATAGTAACTAGAAATATTATCTCTAACCAGATCGTCCGCCTTTATTAACATATCATTTTAAAAGTTCTACAGAACTTAAAGGAGCTTAGTATCAAATATAATCATTACTCTTTCCAGTTTAAATTCATTCTCATATAAAGAAAAATTATTTCAAATAAAACCATGTACACATAAATTTATATTCAGGAATAATCAAATGCTAAAGAATGTTCAATAAATTACTGACATTTGAGAAGGTCAATAAATGCTTTTATATATAATCTTAACATCAAGAAATCAAAATAAATGCACTCAAATCCTATTTCAATAACACATTAAGCATTTTGATTTAAATTTTTTAAATGGATACTAAATGAAATCACCAAGATTTCATTCTATTCTATTTATTTTGCTAATGTCCATTTTTAAAAATAACAATGACCCTATTAAATGGATTCATATCCTGTTCAAGTAATAAAATATATACATTTCAACTAATAGTATAATAATAAATCAATTAACCAGAACTCCATTACTACTCTCAATTATTACAAGGTTGTTCTGACTACTTTTTGCTGGGAAGAGGGGTGAAGACATATTCAGATGTGGAACTAGGGTTTGAACTCAGGGATTCACTCTTGCAATCAAGATATTCTTGAACAAACAATTAATCACTGATATTCAAGAAGATGGTCCTAAGCCAGGCAATCTTTTGTTTGCTTTAAAGGAAATTATTTCTAATAACATGAGGAAAATACAATAAAATATCTCATACATTCTTTTTTTTTTTTTTTTTTTGAGAAAGAATCTTGCTGTGTAGCACAGGTTGGTCTGAAAATAGCAATCCTCCTGCCTCAGCTTCTGGAGTGATGCACCATGCCCCACACTCTTCCTCTGCCCCTCATACTGGGGATTGAACTCAGGGCATTGAGCTTCCTAGGCAAGCACGCTATCACTTGAACCATACTCTCAGCCCTTTTTGCTTTAGTTATTTTTCAGACAGGATCTTGTACAGTTTGCTGTGTCAGCCTCAGACCATGCAGCAATCCTCAGACCTACGCCTCCCACACAGCTGGGATTATAGCAAAGCATCAAAACATCTGGTTTATTCTTTGACATGAGGTCTTGCTAACTTTTTCACCTGGGGTAGCCTCAAATCTTGACCTCCCTTGTCTCCACCTCTCATGAGCTGCCACCACCAGCACAAATCCATTCTTATAACAGAGACTTAGTGGCTTTATATTTTTTTTAATTTTTAGTAAAACTGGAAGTTTTTGGTAGTCATCAAGTTAGAATAATGGAGCAACAGTTTTACTACAATTTAGAATAAGAGTTTAGAATAAAGGAGCAATAACTGCCATAATTTCCCATATGAAAAAATCCATTTCCTCAAACTGCTGGGTAGAGCCATCACAAAGATCAAACTATCATGGTGCGGGGTAGAACATCTACCTAAAAAAGAAAAAAAAAAAAAAAACACCAAATACCTGACTTATAGATTCATAAGCAAGCATTAAGTAAAAATGTTCATAAATACCAAATGGGGAGGTGAAAAGCTCAATTATTCATGAGTTTGTTCAGTGTATTATTTGTACTGCAACCGCAACCCACTTCGTAACAAATATGGGAGGTAGCTCATATTTAAAATTTATTGTGATGATCTAGTCACTATGGGCTGAATATTATAAAAATTCTCCTTGCTTCCTCCTTTAAAACTTGCTTAAATTTTAAAATTAAGAATTAATGTTTTTACTATTAATGTATGATAAGAAAAAGAAAAAGAAATTAATGTTTTATCTTTTCACCAGCTTCTAAGATTTATCTTTTCTTCAGTGGACTAGGTTCAAGAATGTTACTATGGAATTTAGAGAATTTAGAGAATATGAAGAAAAGAGTTGCCAAATGACAAGGAAAGTCAGAAATCTGCAAGTATGGAAGAATCAAGACTAGAATTTGAAATACATTACCTGTTCCAAGTTTTAAAGGCGTTGCTGGCTCGTTTGAAGAGATATCCTTCCATGACAATGCCATTTGCAGCATCTACATTATATTCTAACTTAGAGTCATCACTGGAGAAATCCTAAACAAGAGAGCACACAAAAGTTCAAAGCACTAGACTACTGTTCCTACAAAAATAACTGACCTAGGGAAAGGGCTCAAAAAGAAGAAAAACTTTGCATTAAAGCTGTTACAGCCAGGCACTGGTGGCTTGCACATGTAATCCTAGCTACTTGAGAAGTGAGACTGGAAGGACTGCAGTTCAAGCCAGGCCCAAACAAACAGTTCACAAGACCCCATCTCCAAAATAACCAGAGCAAAATGGACTGGAGGCATGGCTCAAGCAGTAGAGTACTTGCTTTGCAAGCTCAAAGCCCTGAGTTCAAACCCTAGTCCCACCTGGGAGAGAAAAAAAAAAGCTGTTACAATATTCCTAAGAAATGAGGATGGAGACCTAACTGACCAATAATTGAGTAGTGTTTCGACATATTACAGTATTTTAGTTCAGTGGACTGTTGCACAGTAATTATGAAAATGATGGTGTAACAATACAGATGATTACATAGAGTATTTAAAAACACTGTAAATTGCATTAAAAGAATAATATGTACACAAATAGACAAAGAAAACAACTAAATACTACCCAGTGTGCCATGTTTAAAATACTTTCATTTTATCCCAATGTTTTATGGTGATACGTGTTGTTTTAAAGGCATAGGGATTTATTTAGTTAGGATTATATGAACCTACAATATTGTCTAAATATATTACTACCATGATAGTTTTTTAATCTGATAGAAGTAATAACTGTACTTCTTGGGAAGTTCAGATAAAACAACTACAGAATGTTTTTTCCTTAAATATAATTTAGTTTTGCAAAGGAGAAAGACCTTAAGACCAATTTCAGGTGGGATGATGAACTTACTTTTTTGAGAACTACAAAATCACTCACAGCCTTCTCCTATGAGGATTCTCCTCCTCGGCACCATGCTATAATTTATTAAATTATGCAGACTGGATTAAGTGGGCAACAGATATAAAAAGCCTCATCTGTCAACAACAGTAGTTTTCCCTACTTAATCTTGATGCTACTTAAAACATAAAATAATGGGGCTTGGGTGTGGTTAAGTGATACAGTGCTTGCCTAACATGTGCAAACCTGATTTCAACTCCCCAACACCACAAAATAAATAAATAAATAAGACTTCCTTGGATATAGTGTACTACAAGTATTTTTCAACTATATTCTTGAGATGAATAAATCCTCAATTTATTTACTATTAATATCAATATTCAAAGAGCCCAAATGTGACAGCCATATTATAGTACTTAAAATGTGACAGATTTCATAACGTTAAGCAACTAATAATGTTGGATGAAATATATACTGTTAAAATCTCTGTGAATGTGCTGGTGCTTTGACAAATTAGGGAAGAATGCTCAAAGGCAAAAGACTAAATAAATGAAATTTGTTTTTTTTTTTTTTTTTTTTTACTTATGACAACGTATTTTATTTTTTTTTTTTTCATTTTTCTTTTATTATTCATATGTGCATACAAGGCTTGGTTCATTTCTCCCCCCTGCCCCCACCCCCTCCCTTACCACCCACTCCACCCCCTCCCGCTCCCCCCCTCAATACCCAGCAGAAACTATTTTGCCCTTATCTCTAATTTTGTTGTAGAGAGAGTATAAGCAATAATAGGAAGGAACAAGGGGTTTTGCTGGTTGAGATAAGGATAGCTATACAGGGCATTGACTCACATTGATTTCCTGTGTGTGGGTGTTACCTTCTAGGTTAATTCTTTTTGATCTAACCTTTTCTCTAGTTCCTGGTCCCCTTTTCCTATTGGCCTCAGTTGCTTTAAGGTATCTGCTTTAGTTTCTCTGCGTTAAGGGCAACAAATGCTAGCTAGTTTTTTAGGTGTCTTACCTATCCTCACCCCTCCCTTGTGTGCTCTCGCTTTTATCATGTGCTCATAGTCCAATCCCCTTGTTGTGTTTGCCCTTGAAATAAATAAATGAAATTTATTTATAAATTATTTATTTATTTATTTATTTATTTATTTATTTATTAATAAATTAATTAATATAATTAAATTAATTATATTAATAAATTAATATAATTATTTATTATTTATAAATGAAACAAATAAATGAAATTTGTAAGCCAAAGAAGTCTGCAGAGCAAGCAACCCAGCTGTCACCTTAAGGACACTGCCTGTCAGGAGAACTGGAGCTTTCCTGAAGAACATAGGGAGTAGAAATAAGTAAGGATGGTCAGTAAAGGGTGTCTAACAGAAGCTTTGCCATTCAAACTATAAACCAGACAAGAAATACTACCACTCCCATTTGAAATTATGGCCTAACCAGCCAGATAACAAAAAGGTGAGGGATTTGAAAAGAAGAAAAAAACCACCATGTTTGTGGAAAAAAATACTGTACACATAACATCCAAAAGAATCTGGAGATAAATCAGTATTGAAAGAGAATGAGCAAGATTACTGGCTACAGAATCAATAGAGTAAAGCTATTTTTATTATAAAATACCAGAAGGAGACAAAATAAATTTTGAAAGATAACATTTACAAGAACATTTGCAATGTAAATGTCTAGGAATAAATCTAACAAAAGATGTACAAGAAAATCGTAACACCTTATGAAGACCGTTAAGGAAAATATAAATAAATGCAGGATATAACAAGGTCACTAGATAATAGTATAAAATAAAGCATCATTTTCCCCAGAATTGATTCATAGATCCCAATCAATCCAATTCAAAATCCCAAGAGCCATTTTCATGGAACCTGAAAAGATACTCCTGAAATTTATATGGAAATCTAAAACTATTGCAATTGATTTTTTAAAAAGAAAGCTTTGTTTTATTAGATATGAAGACTTACTATAAAGCTGAAAACAACCAAGACAACAATGAAAGCAACAATGTAGTAATGGAATAATTAAGAGAAAAACATCAACAGAACAAAACAGAGAACTTGAAAAGAGCCTCAGGCATATGGGAAGGTGGAGTCCAACATCAGACATATCATAGAGCACCAGGAAAAGAAACCTAACAACTAGTGTGGATCAACTAGCTACCACTGGGAGAATAAAAGGAAATCAGATCACTTCCTGACACCATACGCAAAAACCCAATTACACAGGATTAAGCATCTAAACGTGAGGGCTGGACATGTAGCTCAGTGGTAGAGTACTTGCTAGCATGCGGGAAGCCTTAGGTTCCATCCCTAGCACCACCAAGAAGTTACAAAAAGGAAAGATCTAAACATGAAAAGCAAATCTATACAGGAGAGATCTTTATGCGCTTGGGATGGAAAGGATGTACTGAACAATACGCAACAGCACCAAATGTAAGACTAATAAACAGCATAAAAATTCAAACACATATTTCCCAAAAGGTGCCTATTCTTACATCTAGAATATATGAAGGAGCTCACCAATAGTTAAAACTGACAGATAAAGGGGAGAAAGACTAACAGACATATCACATATAGGATATGGGATAAGGTGCACAACTTCTTTGGTCATTTAATATGTTTAAATTAAAACCACAATGAGATGTCCATATCTACCCACCAAATTAGCAGAAATTAAAAACTTTCCCAATACAACAAGGTGGCAAGGAACAATGGGAACTCTCCCAGCAATGCCTGACAGTACTGATAACACATTTTGAAAAACAATTCAGCACTATGTACTATACTAATATGGACATGTATACCCTCTCGGATGCAGTGGTCTCACTTCTAGGTATAAATCCATCAGAACTGTGTGTACATATCCAAGGGCACATACATGAATGTTCACAGCATCATGGTTTCTTCAATGTCAATTCTTTCAAAATCTAAATAATTACATTAGATTTGCTTTCTCTTAAATTTTAGTTAACTGAATATTTTTACCTGTAACGCAGCCTTGAGTCAGCATTTAAGGGTAGAAAAAAGGTAATTATTCATAATGAGCAAAAATAACGTTATTTTCTTTAAAGGAAAATAGTTCTGCACTGTTTCACATCAAATTAACCTCAGATTTAATAATTTACCAGACCTTCAGCACAATATTTAACTATGAACACAACAGGAAAAAATATTAAAAGATAGATCATATTCATTAAATAATTCAATTTAAGTAACATTCACATATTTCTACGAACAACAATGATCTCTCATTTTAACTGAAATGATGGGTCTTGTTTTTAACAATCCCTTCATGGTAATATCACTGAAACAATTATTCACCAAAACATCATGTTGGACAAAGCATGATGTCACATACCTATAAGCCCAGCTACTTGGGAGGTAAACATTGGGAGATCAAGGTTTGAGGCTAGCCCAGGCAAAAAGTTAGCAAGGCCCCATATCAATAACCCTAGTGATCAACAGGGTGACAAATGTCGCAGCCAGGTCACCTTCACATCCAAGACCCTATCTCAAACAAACAAGTCAGGCATGGTGGTCCACATCTATAATCCCAACTATGTGGGAGGCCTAGGTAGGAGGATTATGGTCCAAAGCTGGTCTCAGGAAAAACCAAGAGACCATATCCAAAAAAATAACTACAGCAAAAACAAAGCTGGCAGTATGGCTCAAGTGGTAGAGCACCTGCCCAGAAAGAATAAGACCCAGAGTTAAAACCCCAGTTCTGCCAAAACAACAACAACAAAAAAAAAACAAAATGCTATACAAACAAAATATATACAATTTTTATCTGCCAATGAAAAAGAAAAAGAACCAGGTGTGGTGGCACACACCTGTTATCCCAGCACTCCAGCAGCTGAGGCAAATTAAAGGTCAGCCTGAGCTATCCAGTGAGACCCTGTCTCAAAAGTTTAAAAAAGAAAAAAGAAAGAAAAGTTACTCAATGAAAGGTTATACTAAAGTCAAGTGTGGTGGTGCACATCTGTAGTCCCAGCTACTTTAGAGGCCAAGATGGGATAATCAAGAGCCCCAAACCAGCATGGATACATAGTAAGATTCATTTTAATTTTAAAAAATAAAAGTCATTCTAACTTTAAACAAAAGAAAATATGGAGTTAGTCTCACCTGACAAGTAGGAAGAAAATAATGTAAAGATAGTCTGGAGTAGGCATAGTGGTACACACCTATAATCCTAGCACTCAGGAGGCAGAGCAAGAAGATTTTGAGTTCCAGGCTAACAGAGGCTACCAAGTGAGTTCAAGGCCTATCAGGCTACAAAACAAGATCCCATCTCAAAAACAACTGCTGCACTAATAATAATAATAGACGATCTGATAGAAAATCTTTCCTTTTCTTAAATACTATTTCTCTTTGGACATGACTAACCAATCAATTATATTTTCCTTCTATTACTGATTTTACTCTCACTTTTTTTCCATTGACATCTGTCAGATCTAGTGTAGTAGTATTTAAATTTAAATAAACCACAACAAAAACTGATTTCTTAAAGCAATCCAGAAGGTGTCTTGTCATATACTTGTATAATTGCATTGAATCTCTCATTCCTTTTGTTTTCAGGTTATTGCACAAAAAAAAAAAAATCCTAAGATAAAAAACTGAATTTCAGACACAACGCACTCAACTCTTTTAGCATGAAGAAATAAAAACTGGTTAAATAATTTAGCTGGGCTTAGGCATTTTAACAAACTTCAAGTTTCAGCAGCACTGGAGAGAAGGAGTGCTGCTCTAGGGTGACTACAGCTGGGAAGTGAGCAGCATGGACACTGAGGCACACGTGCTCTCATGCACAGGTGTGCTCTCTTTCTCTCACACACGTGTGTGCACGTACACACACACGCACGCACATGAGCACGCGCACACACACACACACACACACTCTGAATAGTGTTTTAAATTCTAAGGACCACTTTTAATTTAGTCAAGGCCCTGACTGATAAAGGTTCTTTATAAACTAGTTCAGGACCATGGCTTTCAAATGTTTTGATCTGAAAGGGTAAGACAAATACTAATTTAGCAAAATAGAATTTAACCTTATTTAACTTTTCCCCTCACATACCTTTTGTTGAATAGTGGAATGTTTTTGCTCCATCTCTCTTTTCTCCTTGGCTGCATCCACAACAAGTCGATCCAACTATAAAGAGAGAAAACTACAGACTTAAAATTTTTTTAAAGGTATTATTTTTTCAAACTACATTCCAAGTCATTTCATAGAACCCAGAATCTCTCATATGGTAGGCATAAAAAGGCAATTTGATTAAACTTGAAAGTAGAAGTTCCTATTTTTTTCTGGTATTAACTCGTCTTTGAGAAGGCCCGGACCTCCTCTAGGGAAAAGGTTTCCAAGAAAGTCAAGGTGCCAAACATACACACCATGAGGCCTTGTCTTAGGCACTTCAGGATGTACTTTTCAGTCCTTGAATAAGGACAATGACTCTACATTAAGGTGTCTGCTGGCCAACTCAGCAAATTCTGGTAGCTACAATCAAAGATACAGAGAACACAGGTGATCCCCTCCCCCAAAGTAGCAAAAGCCAGTGCAGCTAAACACATGCGGCCAACTCCACAGTTCACACTAACACATCCCTCCCATCACTCAGTACGCTTCATGTTTTCAAGCTGCTTCCTAATGTTAAGCCAAATCCAAAAGGCAGAAAAATAATTGGCCAAATAAAAGATAGCTTTAAAAAAAAAATAGTAAGTGCCAGGCATGAGCTATATTCTCAGCACTTAAGAGCCTGAGGCAAGATGATCACAGAAGCACAGGACTAGGACCAGCCTGGGCAACAAAGCAAGACCCAGTCTTAAAATAACAATAATAACAAAAGAATATTGATCCCCTAATTTCAGATGCTATTATCTGCTAACTCAATTACTAAAAGAACAGCCTAACTGGTCTCCTCCAACCAGGCCACATTATCCACTAGATACTATGAGTAGTATAGCCTATTCTGGGCTTTGCAAGGACCCGCAAACTTATGTGACATCTGAGAAAAGAAAAAAAAAACTTACAATTTTGTAATTAATAGATGTCTAAAAATACGTAATTGTTTCAACTACTTAACTGCAACTTAATTCGTAGTTTTTATAAATTATACTTAATGTAATCTAACATTTGACAAGATGTGAAGAGGGTCTAACACCTAAGAAGGTCCAACTTCTTGCCAAGCCTGAGCTGTAAGTGCTATCTACATGTACCTGTAATACCCTGACCCTCCCCGTATGGCAGAAAAGGATAGCTGTTCCCATGTCTATTTCCTCCTTCCTTAACAACAGAAACCTCAAAGTCTAGCAGGTCACAAGATTAGTAAGCCTGGTCACTGAGAATCAAATGGCCATGATACTATGCTTTTGACTTTACATAGAAGAAATATATTTCCAAACGCCTACTATTCTTAGTTGTCTGTCACTCGCAAACAAATCTAATCCTGATATTCACAAGGCTTTCAGTACAGAGGTTAACAGTTTGGTGACTTAATGGTTTCTTTCAATAGATTAAGTTCAACAAAGACAAAAAACAGAAGGTAATTCTTGACACATACCCTGCACACCATATCAATGCCCACATACTTTGATCAGTAGATGCGATTCCCACTCCACTCTTAACCTTTCTCCCATTTCTCATTCTCATACTCTTTCCTCAAAAAGTAAACTGAATCATCTCGGAAAGAAAACTGCTTAAAAAAGACACTATCAAATCAGGAAAGCTCATCAATCAACGAGCTCCTCGTGTCTTCAGTGATTCAGGGTACAGATCAGCGGTAGTGCGTTAACCTAGCATGCATGAGGCTCCAGCTTCAGTTTCCAGTACTTCAAAAAACAAAAAACAACACAAAGTGCCCAGATGTATTTTATATAAAATTATAATCAGATGTGACAAATAATTAGATCATAATGAAATCTAGACCTATATGATTCTTATATAATTTATATACATATTTAATTCTAAAATTGACATGAACACACAGGCATACATACACAAATAACTGAACATGTCTATGTGAAATTAAAAAGTTTTTAGGCATTCTATAATTTTAAGATTCTAAAATTTCATTATCCAAATAGCAAAATACAATTTTCTGAAAAATAAAAAAAGTTAAAACTGAAATAAAAAGCAAATTAGGACAGTAACTCAATTACTCAAATGTAAGAAACTAAAAACTAAATCCAGCTATGTATACTATAAAAATAGACAACGTTTTTGTTTGTTTGTTTTGTTGGCTGATTGGCTGGTACTCAGAACCTCACCCTTGACTAGGGAGGCACTCTACCACTTGAGCCACTTCACCAGCCCATTTGTTTGTTTTGAGACAGGATCTTGCTATGTACCCAGGCTGGTCTTGAACTTAAAGATTCTCCTGCCTCAGTCTCCCACGTACTGAGATTATAGGTGTATACCACCATACCTGACAAACACTTTATTTTTACACTGCCCTTTTTAATACCTTCATATACAATTTTTAACATAAGATTATTTGTACCTTTAATTTCATTTTTGATAATACATTTAACCCATACGTAAATCTGCTGTCACATCAAACTTCCTTATTAAGTAAATAAAATGTCAAATTCCCCAATATGCTAAGTTTCTTTAAAAATACAAACATCAATGTATAATACAGAATCAAGAAATACCATAAAACATTACCTGTGCGCCAAGATCTTTCATATAAGGCCCAAGTTCACTAAACAGATCATATCCTTGGTGAAAGAAGGCCAAATGGGCGTACATAAAGGACAGCATCTAATGGGGAAGAAAGCCATTTTTAAAATCCATTCCTAGATAAACATTTGCAAGTTTTCTGAATTCCTAATTCTCTTTAATGCTTAAAAATTATTCCACAAGAGTTCAAAATGTCATATCTACTTAAATTAAACCAAGTCATTTTTCTTAAGAGTATTTCATAAATATTTGCAATTTACAGTAAGAATAAATTTTGTTTAAAAGAAATTTATTTAAAATTTTTAAATACTCTAAATTTTAGTTGTTTAAACTTTATTTACATGATCAAATTTATATAGGTGATTCAAATAATCAAATTTTTCAATAGCTTTGCTACTGTCCTATGTATTCCTAGATACAATATGAAATATATATGTGCACTTTGAACTAAACTCTCTAGAAAATCTTAAATAAGAAAGACATGAAAAGAGAAGGGAAAATACAAAACCCTCAAAACTCAATCATAAACTCTTTGCAGCCTACTAGATCAGTAAGCACAACCTAAAGTAAGGGAATGCTCAGTTGTTCTCTTTTTCTAAAGAATTAACAAAATGAGTTAACACTTTACCAATGTGGAATTTTCTTTATATTATTCTACAAATCCAAAAATGGTATTTTTCCCCTGGCTTTTTCTCTGAGAAAAAAAATCACCCTTACTTTCATTAACATTTTATGTGGAAAGAAAATATGTAATTAAATGTACACTACTGAAAGAATTTTCTGATACTGTTTTATTTTTAGCAAGAAGAGAATTCTGCTTAATTCTCTGAAAACTAAAATAGGTCATAGGTCCTCAATAATTCTCCCTCAAAAAAGTGTGTTTCCCAGGGAAAAACAAATTAAATAAAACCAAAGATTAAAGGACAAAATTCACAAAAGGAAAATTATTGTAGAAGTAGATAATGGTAACGATTATACAAGTTGTGAATTTTAAAAACCCAGTGAATTATAAAAAGGGGGAAGATTTAAGTTAGGGCTACATAAAAATGTAAACTTTACCTGTTTATTAAAACAGATAGGAGGCATATTAAAACACAAATGATAAAATAAGAAAAAACACATGATGAATTTTAACTAGTAATCTTAGTATATAAAAGATGTCACTGGTCAGTATGAAAAAAATGAAAATGCTCCAAAAGACAAACACAAGTGGCCAAAAAAATAAGGAAAAAATGTTCAACCTCATTTGGATTAACAAAGTGCAAAATTCAACACTGAGATCATATTTTCTAGGAGAAAGACAAACTATAACATTTACTCTTGGTAATGTTAGTACAGAAATGCTCATTCTTACTATTAGTAAAAATATCATTAACCATTGGAATTTTGACAGTATTTTTAAACCTTTTCAGTTTTCCCTTGTCTGTAAGTCTACCATAAGGCAGTAATCAAATGATGCACTGGAATGATCACTCCAACAATGTGTTTTAATGTCAAAAACATAGAAATTACTTAAATATCAATTAATGAATGAAGATAATTTATGGTATGTTCTCAGAGAACAAGCAATCATCTGCAAATAATATCCAGCATATTATCTTTAAGAATGGTTTTATATTTTTAAATGACTGAAAGAAAATGAAAAAAAACATAAAACTGATGAGTGAAACTTTAATAAAATTCAAATTTCTAGGCCCATATATGAAGTTTTATTGGAACATAGGCATGACTATTCATTTACATATTGCCTGGCTGCTTTCTCATTCTAAGGGCATAGTTGAGTAATTGAAACAGAGACCACATGGCCTGAAAAACCTACTATGTTTACTACCTAAGCCCTTTATCTCCAGTACATCCATGTTGTAGGATTCTACCTGGTCACAGCTGAGTGCGAAGGTGCACACCTGTAATTCCAACACTTCAGAGACTGAGGCAGGAGGACCTACAGTTAAAGGCCAGCCTAGGCTACAAAGAAAGAGCCTGTCTCAAAAGCAACAACAATGTTTTTTAAAAGAATTCTAACTGATCACAAAAGTCATCAAAATTACTGTCCATATATTACTGCCAATCTGGAATACATAGGGTTGGGGAGGACAGGTAAACATCATCTTTAAAAAAAAAAAAAAAAAAAGCAAGTACAATTTAGTTACCTGATAAGGCACAACATGAATATAAATATAAAATTTAGGAAAAAGCAAGGTGGGGACAAGGATCTAATACAATTTAAGCACAGCTTTTGGGGGGGAAACTTCTGCAAATAAATTCAGAGAAAAGTTATTTTAAAAGTTCTCAAAGAAAGAGTGAAATGCTGTATCACACCATCTCCCTGCTCACTTCTTTGTTGACTTTCAAACAAACAAACAAAAAAAGGCAAATAAAAATTTATTGTCACCAGGGATGAAAAGGCTCAGGGAAAAAAAACAACAAAACTCAAACTTCATTCCATTGGTTTTGTAACTGCACACCACAGAACAAATCAAAAGGCGGCTACAACAGCAATCTTAAGGGAAATTTTCTCCAAATGATACTACTTGTGTAAGTCATCAATATCAAATACTTTTAAAGTCTAAACAATACATACAACTATAGTTTGTATAGTTTGAAAGAGGTTGCACAGAAAATTTTGAAAGGTGAGTGTGAATGAGAGAATATTAAACTAAATGTGATATTTATTTTTACAAATTTCAAAACAAATTCTGAAATATTCTCACAGGTTTTTATAACCACCATTTCCAGTTATTTACAAATAGTGGTGGATATTAAGTATGCGTAAAACATGTGCTAGGATAATAGAAAATAAAAACAGACTAGTCAATACAAAATCTGTCTCATGGATTTCACAGTGTATTAGTAAACAAGACACACATAAAAGACCATAACATGAAGAAGACGTGAAATAAGAACTTTGATACAAGAAATACAAATAAAGTTTAAAAAGAATAGCACTTATGAACCTATAATACATACACTAACTGTAAACACAATTGAGTATCTCAATTTCTTACTGATTTTAGGATTTCTGATCTCCTTTTTGATTGAAGAACATTAATCTGAGAGAAAACACACTTAGTTAATCATCTATGCATTCTTTTAAAAACTAGTCCACAATACTATATCATAAAATTTGCTTATTCTAATGGTTTAATACTTTTCCAAAACAAAGCTGAAGTTTTTTATACTTTGACCTTTCTGGCAAAAAAAGTTAAAACAAACACACCAATGAAATTCTCAACCATTTTTGAGCCCAAAGAAAAACTGGGCATTTAAATTATAACATTGTAGTGAGAGAACTATTTTGACACTTGAACCTTGGAGGAGTCCATCTTTTCCCCACTCTCCTGATCTACTTACACATCAAGGTTCAACATAAAGCCTTACGTTAACTTCTCATCAGTTGACCACCAGCAACTCTTTTCTGGACTGTAACAATAGGCTATGAATTAGACTCTGCTTTCCTTTTTTAACTCCCCATTCTCCACATAAGTACTAGGATGATCTTTTAAAAATAAGATATTACATCTAGTTTAAAGCCCTCTAACTTCCTATAAGCAAGACCCATTGTGATAAGACCCCTGCCTCCCTCTCCTACATAGTTTTCTATTACTTCCCCCTTTCTGTGTTCCAACAGCCCATAACTGTTCCCCTAGGTGCCTTTGTACTAGCTGTTCTGCCTCCATGTCAGGGTGTTCTGCCTTTGTGGGCATGAGGCTCTCTCTTATTAATCAGGTTTCCAATAAATACCATCTTCTCACAGTACATTACTCACTGTCTGCCAAGCAAAAAAGGGTATGTTATCAATAAATATTTGTTAAATAAAGTAATGGATTTTAAGTATTTTAATTAGACTAAACTTACTAACAGATCAGTGAATTAAGAGATTGCCTTTTATGGGATCTCTTCCAACTCTAAAAATTCACAACAAATGTTTTTGTCTGTTATTAAATGCCAGCTTAATGAAATAAAGTGTTTACTCAAGGAAATAATCATTTGCTCTTTTCTAATATTTATTGTCAAAGATTACAGAATATCTTCCTTATTAATATGTTGTTCCCACTGAATTCTCTGCCAATTTCATAAGATAATTTTAAAGTACTGACTGGAAAACAAAAATAGACCAAGAAAAATCTAAGTAACTTTTCCTAACTGAGCATTAGTTTTTCCTGCTTATCTATTTCAGACCCTATTCAATTTTGAGACCTAGAATATTAACTTTTGAATGTTCTACGTAAAAACAAAGGTTGCAAAAAGCCTATTGCTTAAACTGTGAAAACATTAGAAGTGCCTGTTTAATATCATTTATCCATGTGCAAAATGAAAAAGAGAACTGTATTTATTTTGGTGGGGTCAGGAAGTGGGATTGGGATTTGAATTCAGGGCTTCATGCTTGCAAAGTAGGCACTCTACTACTTGAACAACATCTCCAGTCCATTTTGTTCTGGTTATTTTTGGAGCTGGGATCTCATGAACTATTTGCTAAGGCTGGCCTCGAACTGCAATCCTCCCCATTTCAGCCTCCAAAGTAGCTAAGATTACAAGTAGGAGCCACCAGTGCCTAGCTAGCATGTAAATTTTTGAACAAATAATAAATTCAACTACTTAGAGAAGTTAAGCATGACAAACCATATGCATTTGGATATTTGCTACTTACTATTCTCTAAAACAGCCACTTTGACTACAAAATAAAATGGTATTAATTCTCACCAGAAAAATCAAATAAGCTTAGTCATTGGGGCGGTGGGCAGTGGCTAACTGAAGAATTGTCAGATGACTGTCAAAGGAAATAATTTATAAGGTATGTAGGAAAAATAGTATTTTACCTAGACATTCTCATAAAATTCCTAACATTAAGTCGAGCTAGAGGAGTGGCTCAAGTGGTAGAGTGCCTGCCTAGCAAGCACAAGGCCCTGAGTTCAAACCCCAGTGCCACAACCACTATAAAAAAAAAAAAAAAAAAAAAAAAAAAAAACCTAACATTAAGTCATTCACTATTTCAAAAAATATTACCTATTCACTTTCTAATCACTAAACTAGAAATTAAGGATATACAGTACTCTAAGAATAGAAAAGACATAATACATATTTACAGTAAATATGGTTAGTGGACTCACTGCAGAATGTATGAAAATATCATGGTAACACAGAGATGGTAGAGGTAAGAATGGTTCATTCTGTCTGGAGAAGTTTGAATACTCTTGACCACAGAAAAGAGAATGAATTGTGATGGGGCAGGTAAAGACAGTGTAAGAAAGACCAATTTTACAAGAATATCTTAATCCTCTAGACAAGATGCAATAAGGCTGGTGTAAGATGGCAGCAATATGATAAGGAAAAAATAGATTTAAGAGGAAATTAGAAATTTCCAAGATATCTTAATAGCTAAATATAATAGTATAGAATGAATAAAATAAGAGTTTCTGACATAATTCTCTCATTCTGAATTTCTATGAGAGTATGGGGGTGAGGCCATGCAGAGAGAAAAAGAAAACACTTTGGAAGATGACAAATTTCAGTTTTAGACACAATGAGAAAGAGGAACCTCTGGGAAAATAGATCTTATCATCAATGTACAAGTAACAATTCAGGCAAGGGACATGATGAGAATGTCAGAGAATAATAAAGTAAGAAAAGAACAGAAGCAAAGACAGGATCTCAAAAAAAGAGACTGAAAGGCAGACAAAGGATTTGAGAAGCCCACATCAGAAATTGAAAAGAAATAGAAGTAAGGAGTAAGACCTAAAAGTAGCTTCAGATAAGTCAAGACAAACGAAAGTTCCGAGGAGAGTGCACACTACCATTTCAGTGAAGCAGAGCAGTCAAGTCTATGGGCTAAAATATGTCTACTGAAAAAGGCCTTTGCATAGTCATTTCAGTGACCTGTGTGGGAAATGTGGACTCTGGCTATAGCAGGAAGGGGCATGATGTGAGGTAGGAAACAGACCAATCCATTTTAGAAGCCCTTCATCCATAAAGGAAATATATTAAATTTTTAAAAATTTAACTTTCCACTTCTGGAACAGGAACTTAGAAAAAAAATCTTCAAGCCCATTTTCTGCTGATTTGCAAAGTTGCCAAAGTAGTTTGTAATCACTAATTTGTGCATAGTTACTTATGTACTTTTTAAAGAAATGCTCTGCAGTCATCATCAACAATTTCTGGGGACACCACTGCTGTTTTGTAAGAGGATATTTAGAAAAGATAATTCTCCAAGCTTTAAAGGTTTTAAGCTTTAAACTCCATGATATATAAAAACATATAGTGTAAAAGTAAAATATTATGCCTTCATTCTTCCTACGTCTCAAATTCTTTTGGAGATTTACAACACTCAAAATAGTTTGAATTCTACACTGGCCAAGAAGATTACCAAGAAAGAGAGAATCAGAAGTGTGGCAAAAGATGTCTATATAAAGATGGTATCATTTAAAATTATTAAAAATTTTATTTTCATACTTGCCAGTAAAAACTGGCAACACCATAAAAGTCTGGCAGTCAAATATTAATTAGACTGACATAGCAATTCCATAGAATAAAATACATATAGCAGTTTTACAACAGGGGAAGTTATAATTAAGTAAAAACAGGAAGAAATCAGAGAGCTATGAATGGAGCTCAGTGGCAGATGCTTGCCTAGCACGCTCAAGACCCCAGGCCCCATTCCCCGCACCACAGAGAAAATGGAGGGTAGAATTAGAACCAAAGGCATAATAGCTACAGCAAGGTAGCAGGATATAAAATCAACATAGAAAAATCATTAGCATTTCTATACACTAACAATGAGCAAACTGAAAAAGAATGTATGAAAACAATTCCATTTACAATAGCCTCAAACAAAATCAAATACCTAGGTGTAAACCCTAACAAAAGATGTGAACGACCCTACAAGGAAACTATACACTTCTGAAGAAAAGAGATTGAGGAAGACTATAGAAAGTGGAGAGATCTCCATGCTCAGGGATTGGTAACATCAACATAGTAAAAATGTCGATACTTCCCAAAAGTAATCTACATGTTTTCATGTATTCCCATCAAAATTCCAATGACATTCATTAAGGATTGAAAAATCTACCGTGAATTTTTATATGGAAACACAAGAGGCCACGAATAGCCAAAGGCAAGAATCAGTCAAAAGAACAATGCTGGAGGTATCACCAATACCTGACTTCAAACTATATTACAAAGTAATAACAATAAAAACAGCATAGTACTGGCACAAAAACAGACATGCGAAACCAGTGGAACAGATAGAGGACCAGATATGAAGCCACACAACTATAAGCAACTTATCTTTGAAAAGGAGCTAAAATGTACGATGGAGAATAGCAGCCTCTTCAACAAAAACTGCTGGGAAAACTGGTTAGCAGTCTGCAAAAACTGAAACTAGATCCATGTATATCCCCTAATACTAATATTAATTAAATGGATCAAGGATCTTATATCAGCCCACAACTCTAGGTTGATACAGGAAAGAGTAGGAAATACTCTGGAGTTAGTAGGTATAGGTAAGAACTTTCTCAACGAACCCCAGCAGCAACAACTAAGAGATAGCATAGATAAATGGGACCTCATAAAACTAAAAAGCTTCTGTTATCAAAAAGAAATGGTCTCTAAACTGAAGAGGCAACCCATAGAGTGGGAGAAATATTTCCAGCTACACATCAAGGACTGATAACCAGAATATACGGAACTTAAAACTAAATTCTCCCAAACTAATGAACCAATAAAGAAATGGGCAAGTGAACTAAACGAACTTCTCAAAAGAAGAAATTCTAATGGCCAAAAACACATGAAAAAATGCTCACCATCTCTAGTAATAAAAGGAAATGCAAATTAAAACCACAAAGATTCCACCTCACCCTGTTAGAATAGCCATCATCAGCAACACCACCACAACAGGTGTTGGCGAGGATGCATGGGAAAAAGGAACCCTCTTACACTGTTGGTGGGAAGTAAACTAGTACAAACCACTCTGGAAAAAAATTTGGAGGGCTACTTAAAGCTAGACATTGATCTACCATTTGATCAGCAATACACTCTTGGGGATATACCCAAAAGACGTCACACAGGTTACTCCAGAGGCACTGCACACCCATGTTTATTGCAGCACTATTCACAACAGCCAAGTTATGGAAACAGCCAAGATGCCCCAGCACTGGACGATGGATTAAGAAAATGTGGTATCTATACACAATGGAATTTTATGTAGCCATGAAGAAGAACGACAATGTTATCATTCCGCTGGTAAATGGATGGAATTGGAGAACATTATTCTGAGTGAAGGTTAGCCTGGCCCAAAAGACCAAAAATCGTATGTTCTCCTCATATGTGGACATTTAGATCAAGGGCAAACACAAACAAGGGGATTGGACTTTGAGCACATGATAAAAGCGAGACACACCAAGGGAGGGGTGAGGATAGGTAAGACACCTAAAATTAGCTAGCATTTGTTGCCCTTACGCAGAGAAACTAAAGCAGATACCTTAAAAGCAACTGAGGCCAATAGGAAAAGGGGACCAGGACTAGAGAAAAGGTTCGATCAAAAGAATTAACCTAGAAGGTAAACACACATGCACAGGAAATCAATGTGAGTCAACTCCCTGTATAGCTATCCTTATCTCAACCAGCAAAAACCTTGTTCCTTCCTATTATTGCTTATACTCTCTCTTCAACAAAATTAGATAAGGGCAAAATAGTTTCTGGGTATTGAGGGGTGGGGGGAGGGGAGGGGCGGGTGGGTGGTAAAGGGAGGGGTGGGGGCAGGGGGGAGAAATGACCCAAGCCTTGTATGTACATATAAATAATAAAACAATAAAAAAAAAAGAACCAAAGGCATACACAGTCACAAACCTTCCTATGTGCATAAATAAAAACATATATATAGGTAAAAAATTTTTCCACAAAACATCATGCTTTTCACTGAACATGGTGGTGTGTACCTGTAATCCTAGTTAGTACTCAGGAGGCTGAAAAAGGATCACAAGTTTGAGACCAGTGTGGGTTATATAGTGAAAACCTGTCTCAAAACAAAAAGTCACCAGGCACCAGTGGCTCACATCTGTAATCCTAGCTGCTTAGGAGGCAGAGATCAGAAGGCTCTCGGTTCAAAGCCAGCTGCCCAGCAAATAGTTCACAAGACCCTATCTTGAAAAAAACCATCACAAAAGAGGGATGGTGGAGTGGCTCAGGTGACAGAGTACCTGACTAGCAAGCATGAGGCCCTGAGTTCAAAACCCTAGTACCACAAAAAAAAAAAAAGAGAGAGACAGAGAAATATTTAACTTTAAAACTCGAAGTAGTATTATATAATCTTTTTGGTACAATCAAACAAAAATAACCATCTATGCAGTAAAAGTTGTTTGAAAACATACTATAAGATATATACCTGTAGTACATAGTCAAGGGCTATGTGACGAAAACATTTTCTTGTTGCTGTCAGAATATTTGTGGCTTCTTCAACTTCATGTTGTTTGTTTCTTTGTACTTGGGCATTTTTTACTAATGCATTTTCTTTTTCTTCACTGACTTTTTCAAATTGTTTCTTGGCATCTTTGAATTTCCTAAGATCTCTAAAAAAAAAAAATAAAATTTTCTTGATCAAAATGTTTGACAAAATAACTTCCAAGTTTAATTGTAATGCTTCTCCATCTATTCATTTCATTGTGCATTGATATTCACTAGTTCTTCCAACTCAAATATATATTATTTCCCAATTATAGGTTAAGTATCCCTTATCAGAAATACTTGGGAACAGAAGAGTTTCAAGTTTTAGAGTTTTTGTTTGGATTTGGGAATGTTTATACAGCCTGCTCACATGTATCTGTAATCCAAAAATCCAAGTCCCAGAATTCAAATAGATTCATAGTTCAGATTTGGAGCATTTTAGATTCCAGATTTTTAATGGACTGGCTGAGTGGCTCAAGTGGTAGAATGCCTGGCTAGCAAGCATGAGGCCCCTAAATTCAATCCCTGGTACTGCCAAAAAAAAAAAAAAAGGAACCTAGATTTCAGATTCTTGGTTCAGGAATATTTTCTCTCTCTCTCTCTCGCTCATATATATAAAAATACACACACACAAACACACACAGAGCTCAGAGCTGATACTGTGAACTAACCTAGAAAGATTAAGTTGATTTGGGGGGCAGGGATAGAGTCAAATTAATTTTATAAAGTGGTATATGTACAATCACCATAGAACACTTGTAGAAAATACAAATTCCAAGGCCCTTTTCCAAAGATTACAACTCGTTAACTGAATATTAGTTTTCCTCCTGTTCATTCCACAGTTTCAAAGTCATTCTGTAAATTATGAAAGTCCTTGAAATTCCCATGAAAAGTCCTAGAAAATTTAAGAGGTATTTTTATCTCTACAGGTAGTCAGTCTATAGACCACTTTAAAAAACATTTAATTTCTTGCTAGAGTGAATTACTGGGCCAAAGGGCATGAATAAAATAAGTTTCACCTGTTGAAACTATTCCAGGAATGGGGGAAGAGAAGATAAAGGAGAATGATGGAGCAGTGAACTCAACTATGATATATTGTTAAGAACTTTTGTAAATGTCACAATGTAGCACCAGTACAACAATGTGTTAATAAAAATAAATAAGTCTCCAAACACACACACACACACACACACACACACACACACACACACACACTCTCTCTCTCTCCTCTCTCTCTCTCTCTCTAAAAGAATTATACCACTAAAGACCAATGATACCCCTCCTTTGAATAGTCTGAAAATGTGAAACCTTTGATGCACTAATGACCTTAGGTAAATCATATAATATCTCTTTACTTTTACTATTAGGAACTAATCATTTTTTAATTGTAACAAGATATATCTAAGAAAGACTTTAAATTCTTTGAAAGGTACCATAAATTTTTACATACATAACTCTATGAGGACATTCTGAGTGTTAGTCTCTTATGAAGTCATTTGTAAAGAATCTGTGAGATAATATAGTCAGGAAAAATTCTAACCTGCTGGGTGAGGGGTACAGCACAGTGGCACAGTGCTTGCCCAGCATGTGTGAAGCCCTGTGTTCAATTACTAGCACTGAAAAGAAAAAACCTAACCTACTAAAATCAGCAATACATTACATTATTAACAAGACCTGACACACTTTATAGCTTAAAATATCTATAATTTATTTTAATACTGTATCATAATCAATTTTATCTGTAATTTTATATATTTTTAGTCAAGAGTTACAATATAAAAACTAAATTACTAACATATAAAAGGAAAACTTTCTGAACTGGAAAATATAGACTTTTTAAAATTCTAGTTCAATTTTATCTCACATATAAAACATGATGAATCTGATACAAAAAGTTTACATGTAACAAAAAGTATGCACTTCCATGACCAATTCTCATATATTACATTACCTTTTCTTCAAAGCAAACACCACACTGAGACTGGACAAAACTTACTTTCAACTACCTTTGGTTTTTTTTCCTTATTTTGAAAGGTTATTATATTTTTTATTTATAAAAAGCTTTTTCAAATTTCAGCAACCCTAGCTATGTATTTTCAACATATACTCATGGTATAAATGGTTCAGTGAAAGACATGAAATCTGATTCCCTTACAGAGAAACTTAGGGAAAACTATAATATATATTTCACAAAGCAAACAAACAAAAACTCAAATATGTTCAGCAATACATAGTCCATCATTTCTTTCAAAAGACATCAATTCCCAAATGTGATCATTAACTGGTTTTGTCTTCAATGCAATAGACTTACTCCTTAACAAAATTCTGAAGCTGTGCCTTAATTGATCTCTGAGTTTGGTCAAACAGGATCTAAAAGATAAAATACAACATTGAATGGTTAGAAAAGTAAACAAAGAAAATAATTTTCTTATCATTCTATAATTACCATATCCCTTCATCAATACTCCAATCCTAATTACACCCATAGTTCTTCTTACTAAAAACTACAAAATAAATATTTAAAAAAGAACCTAAAACCAACTTTAAGCCAATTTCACCATCACAGAAATAAACTTGCTTCTATTTACAAAGGGAAACAAATCGCTTTAACACTGAAATAGAATGCTTAAACAGTAAAGCAACCTATTTCCTTATTTGTAATTCAGGCTTTGGAAGACAACCTAAAAGAGCAATGCACATTCCACATCATCTTCCACAGATATTTCTTGTTCTAATATGTGGAAGCATTCCAGATGAACACAATTCTAGAACTGCCTGAAGTCTTAGGCAAGGTTACTCATTTGGGAAGAAGTAGAGATTTTAATGTCATATGTTTTGGGTGGGTTTTTTTGTTTGTTTGCTCATTTGTTTTTATTTGTTAGCAGCAGTGAAATTTAAACTCAAGACTTTCTGCTTGCTAGGCAGGCACTCAACTGCCTGAGCCATGCCTCCAGTTCTTTTATGGTCTAGTTATTTTTTGGAGGTAAGGTCTCACTTTGTGTCCAGGCCAGCCTGGACCACAATCCTCATATCTTAGGCTTCCCACTGTAGCTGGGATGGCAGGCATGCTCCACCACATCCAGTTTTTTTCTGTTAAGATGGGGTCTCACAAATGTGTTTGCCCAGGCTGGCCTGAATTGTGACCCTCAGGATCTCAGCCTCACATAGTTTAGGATGACAATGCATGCTACTGGAACCAAGCTTGAGTGTCACTGGTTTTGAATTGAAGTGTGCACTATATAGTCCTTCAGGCTAAAGAATAACTAAGATTAGCAATAAGAAAAAAAATCTTATTCCTGAGGACAATATTTTGTCTCATTTAAGTGATATCCCATACTTAACACAGATGGCTTGAGTATGATAAATTTCACAGGACATGTCATGGGAATTCCAAGTACTTTCATAATTTACAGAATGACTCCATTCAGAGTTTGAAACAGATGAACAGAAAGAAAAAACAATATTCAAAACAACAACGTAGCTAGGTGTGGTGACTGGTGCCTGTAATTCCAGATACTCAGGAGGATGGCCTTGGGAGGATCACAGTTTGGGTCAATCCAACCAAAAGTTAGTGAGACCCCCATCTCAACAGATAAGTAGGTAATGGTGCACACCTATGATCCTAGCTATGTGGGATGCATAGGTAGGAGGACTGTGGTCTGAGGCTGGCCCTGGGCAAAAAGCAAAATCCTATCTGAAAAGTCTAAAGCTAAAAAGGACTGGGAGTGGAAGAGACCCTGAATTCAAAGCCTAGAACTGAGAAAAAAAGAAGAAGAAGAAGAAGAAGAAGAAGCATTACAATTTCATTTTCTCTGAATCTACACTTACAACAGGGTTTCAAATTTTGTCACTTTATTTCTAGAGAGAAAAAGAAATTTTTCTGTGTAACGTTAAACTCAAAGTCAACAGAAGAAAAGAAATAATAAAGATCAAAAGGAGAAGTCAACCAAATAGAAAACATAAACTTGACAGAGAAAAATCAATAAAACAAAAGCAGGTTCTTTGCGATTGTAAACTGATAAACATCCAGCCAAAGTGATGAGAAAATAAAAAGAAGAAACAAATTCTGAATACTAAGGAGGAGGGATGTGGCTTGACCACAGACACTAAAAGGATAATCTGTGGGGTTGAGGAACAACTGTATGCCTATAAATTCAACAGATGAAATGTCCACTTTCTTTGAAATCCAAAAGCTACCAAAGTTCACTCAAGAAGAAATTGGTAAGTTCATCAGAATTAAAGAAATAGAATTTATAGCTTAAAACCTCCCACAGCCCACAAAATTAAAGCTAGTAGTTAAAGCTACATAAAACCTAACAATCCTACCCCTCAGGTATTTGCCCAAAAGAAATAAAAACTTAGGTTCATACAAACACCTATAAGCAAATATTTACAGCTGTTACATCCCTACTTGCCAAAAATGGAAACACAAATGTTATTCAAGCACAGAATGGAAACAAATATTCATACAATAGAATAATACTCAGTACTGAAAAGGAACAACTACTAACACGTATAACAGCATAGATGAATCTCAGTGCATTTTGCTAGTTAAAATAAGTCATATTCAAAAAAATCTCATAAGCTGTATGATTTATATCACATTTAAGAAAAAGGCAAAACTACAGAAATGTAAAACAAATCAACAATTTGCAGCAGCAAGAGGAAAGAGAAAGCACTGACTAATGAGGGTAAAGAAAAGCATATGAGGGTGTTCTAGAGGTTAATGGTACTTTCGTGCATCATGACTGTGGTGTGGCAACCCAAATGTATGCATCTGTCAAAACCAATAAAACTGTATGCACAAAAATTTTTAATTGCTAATTTAATTTAAAAATAACTTCAAATATGAAAGAACAAAATGTGGTGATACAGGCCTGTAATCCCAGCACTCTGGAGTCTGGGGCAGGAAGATTTTGAATTCAAAGCCAGCCTGGGCTACACAGTGATAACCCTATCTCGAAACACAAAAACAAACAAAAAAAATTATAAATATGAACCAACATATTTTAAATGAATTAAGAAGAAACAAACAACATGACTAAATAGTTTGATTAAAAGAAGATACAAATGTGAAAGTAACAAAAAGAAACGCCCTCCTTCTCAGAAGTACCAGAAATATCTGTGAAAGTTGACCACGTAGTAGAGCACAAGGCAAGAATATGGCATTATACAGCACACACGTGCTGACCTCAAATGACACTACGAAGAATTAAAAAGAAAAAACTACTGACACAAGCAACGACAATCTGGAAAATTTTTATTCCAAGTGAAAGAACTCCTCTCTCTCTCTCTCCCTCTCTCTTTCTCCTCCCTCCCTCTTTCCTTCTCCTCCGCTCTTTAGCTCTCTCCCCCCTCCACACTCACACACAAATACTGTAGGATTCTATTTGTGTAAAGTTTTAGAAAAAACCAAACTAGTTTATGAAGGAAAATCAGATCAGCACATATGGTGTGTGGGTTGGGACTATCTGATAAGAAGTATGAATTTCTGGATAATGATCTATATCTTAGAAAGGATTTGAATTATAAAAGTGTATGCATTTGTCAAAACTCACTGAATGGTGCACTTAAGATTTTGTATTTAATTATATTTAAATTTGACCTCAATAAAAAATAAAGTATTACCAAAATTAAATTTTATATACACTTGAATAGAATGAGAAGTATTTCAGGAAATTCAATAATCTAGCCTATTTTCTTTTTATTTTTTCAGACAGGACCTTGCTATGTTGCCCAGGGTAGCTCAAATGATGCCTCCACCTTGGTCTTCTGAGTAGCTGGGCTACAGTTATGTGCCAACATGCTCAGCTTCACCCTATATGTTTTTAATACCGCCATCAGAATAAAAAGTATATTGTCAATGCAAAGGCAACTGGTCAAAAGCTCTGTCTCCTACTTGCCAATTTCAAGGCATCCAGCTACCTAACAGCTCACTCTTCTCTTTGCTAAACTGCTGCACAGAACTGCCTCCATGAGTCTGCTGGTATCGCAACTCAATTCCTAATCACTAATCTACACCCTGCTAAGACAGAATTCACAGCATTTCTTCTCACATGCTAAAAGAAAACAGCTATAAAAGCTAAGGTTCACTTCCATTTCTGGTAATTAACAGTACTATAGCTAACAATATATGTATGACAAACAATCAACAAAATGTCATTGGATCTACCTGCTAATTATAAAAGGACCTTATCTAAAGTGCAGAGAATAATATGTGATTTTAAAATCAAGAGTTCACATTCAGGTTATTCTCCATTCATGGACCCAGTATAGCAATATTATCTCTGCTGTGTTCAAGAAAAGATGAAAGTTGGGATGCACCATGTAGCTAGACAGCCATCCACTTCAGGAAGTTCAGTAGGAAAAAATGGACCATAAGGAGTACTGGCCAGGTTTCTAGTTCTTATTGTTTATTTAGGTGCCAGTGAGTGTCTAGGAATCAATTTTACAGCTTAAAGTCTTTGTGGTCTGCTTAAATATTATTCAGCTACCACAGCAGTCTCTTTCTGATGATTCTAAGTGACATGATCATTCCTGCCCTTTCCTGAATCAACAGAAAGGACCAGAGTCATGGCTTCTGATCCTATGGATTCATTCAATCTTTTGGTTAATCTCACTAGATTTGTAATAAAAAGCCCTAAAATAAATCAAAAGGACTCTTCTTTGCAATCACTAGGAACAGGTTCTAATAAGTAACTGAATGCTATTATTTGGCCCACTTTTTTTTTTTCTATATCCTCTGCCTGTACTAATTTGTTTCTCTAAATTCTTCCTCCCTCCCTCTTCAAGCAATGGTTTCCACTGGCTTAGGGATGTATTAAAATCACATAAAAAGTTAATAGAGTATATGGCATGATGGCAATAATTCCAGCACTTGAGAGGCTGAGGTAGGAGGATTGAGAGTTTGAGGTGTAGGCTACACAGCAAGACCATGCCTCAAAAAAAAAAAAAATCTAATAGAAAACACAAATGCCCAAGCTTGTGGGATATGAACAAGACCCTTTTGTATTTTTAGCAAGATCTCTAGGTGATACTATTACAAAAGATTGAGACAAACTGCTCTAAACCTATGGTTCTCACATTGGTTGCCCATTGAATTAACCTGAGGGGATGCTGAGATGAATAGAAAGTCTGGCAAGACTGAGGAATCAGTAGTTTTTCAAGCTCTCTAGCTATGAATGAGCAATAGCTACATCGAGTGCTTGTTGGAAATACAGAATATCTAGAACCATCCCAAACTTGTTAGAAATGCAGAATCAGAAACTGCATTTACCAAAATCTCCAGGTCACTTGTTTACTGAAGGCAATACACTGTTGTCAGACTGGGATGCATTGCACGGTGACCTGAGGAGCTTTAAAACTTACGA